ATTATTATAATGCCGACACTTATAATGTTAATATACAGTATTTTATTTATATTATATAATAAACTTGCAATAGTATTGTAAATATTTCATCTAAATAAATGAAACACATTTATTATAGAAACAAAAACTTTTATATATATATATCATTTTTATAAGTGTATAAAACAATAATTATTATAATAAAATAATTAATTAATTAAAAAAGTGCATTTTTATAATACAAAAAACTTATTTATAGATTACTTGTCTAATATCATACAGTATATAAAAATGTAGTGATTTAAATAAAAAAAATACAGACTACTAATAGCTTATTATATTTTGTATGTGTTCAGCAATTAGATGAAACAAAGTCACAACTGTTGGTCACATCCCTCATCCCTTTTAACAATACCTCCCATTCCTCTCTCTCTCTCTCTCTCCTGTTTGTCCATTAGAGAGGGGTTGCATAGTATGCAATGCATACAGTGAACTAAGATTAAATGTATTGTAAGTCTCGTAATGTGTGAAAATACATATATATACGGCATTGTGTGCGCTATGATATGACAAAAAAAATCTATATACTATACACAGTAATTGTAGGTAAATGTTTAACTAAACTATTATGATATTGTTGTTAAATAGTGAGTGAGTAAATGAGAGAAGAGAGAGTGAGTGAGAGAGAAAAAAAAAGTTTGACTTTAATGTTTGCCGACACATATATTATTTTAAGTTTGTTTTATACCAGGCATTGATTATTATATTATTATTATTATTATGTTATTATTTAGTAGACCCATATGTTTGCTAAAGTTGTGCTAATCATATAGTTGACTCTCTCTCTCTCTCTCTCTCTCTCTCTCTCTCTCTCTCTCTCTCTCTCTCTCTCTCTCTCTCTCTCTCTCTCTCTCTCTCTCTCTCTCTCTCTCTCTCTCTTTAACATATAATCACAAACACTTACTTACTTACGAAAATCACAAATTGAAGCTACCACAATTTGATAAAAATGTAATATTTATAGTAAGATTTTTAATTAACTCTAGATAATAGTAATTATAAATTTACATTTTAGAAACGTTTTAGTTTTTCATTAATTAAATTAAAACTTTTAGATTTATACTATAATAAATACGATAAGCTTTATTTTTAACAGTAATATAAAAAACTATAACTTATTTTAAGCACATTTATTTATTTTTTAAGTAAAAATAATATTGTACATTTATGATTATTTTATAAATAATTAAATAGAACTTGGTAATTTTATTTTATATTTAGTTGAATAATAAATTATTATTTAAATCAATTTTTAAATTTTTACCAAATTAATTACAGATGCTATTTGAAACACGTGTCCTAATATTATTATTATTTATTATACTATAACTACTTAATCGCTATTAGTTATATAATTTCCATTTCAATACATAAGCCACATATACAGTACATGACATATACATAAAACATTTTACGGCAATAGAGTGTATACCAGTATTATAGTACTGAATAAAGTTTATAATGTATACCTAAATGTGTTAAATTATTTTTATACAAATACAATAAAAAAGTAATAGTTATGTACACCGTTTTTACCGTAATTACTATATAATGAAGTAACGCCACTCAATCGGCCGGTGCTTTTGATTGATAAACTTAAATCAGATCCGACTTACAGATTAGATAATTAATAACTACCTCTCTCTCTCTCTCTCTCTCTCTCTCTCTCTCTCTCTCTCTCTCTCTCTCTCTCTCTCTCTCTCTCTCTCTCTCTCTCACTCACTCTCTCACTCACTTACTAGTGATTTAACAGTTTGTGTAATATTTTTTTTACACACATTATATTATTTTACTATTGAAAAACAATTAAAAGTATTTATTTAAATGTCAATATAAAAAAAATGTAATTTTTAATTTAGATATTAAAACATTTATAATATTAAATTTATTTTATATTTGAATAATAATAACTTATAATAATATTTTTGTTATTGATTATATATATATATTTATGACACATTCAATACATAATAACTTTATATAATAACTTTATATTGTGAATGAAATTTAATGTTTATTTTGCAAAATCATATTTCTTTTCCGGTGATAATTTTAATACATATTTTATTTTATCTGATTTTATATCTATAATGATTCATATTGTTTAAGATTGTAAAACCTATATTATATTAAATTCATTACAAATTAATGATATAATAATGTACTAATAATACAGTATTAATAAGAACTTTAATATAATATCCTAATTATAATTAATTAGTTTATAAATTTAATAAAATAAATTTTTTAAAATAATTTTATATCTATAAAAAATGTAAATTAATTTTAGTTAATTATTTATATAAATTATTTTCAATTATATCATCATATCGTTAATTGAATTATCATATATTAAATATTGTGTTTATTATCATAATAGCGCATCATTTTCATAATTGCTTTGATATCAATATTAATTATTTACAATTAAAAAAGTAATGACATTAACAATATTTCTTATGAAATAATTTATTATTTAAAAATTATAACTAATTAAAAAATATAATTATTATAAATAACACTTACAATTAATTATAAAGTATATTATATAATATATGTACTGTAGTATTGTATAATTAGTATTAGTATGAATTTTTTAAATTAATATATTTCATTTATTTTAAAATACATTTATATCAATAGTAAAGTATATTAACATTATTTATATCCGTTATTATTAATTTTAAAAAATCATTTTATCGGTCATTTAATGATTAACTGATAGTTCCAACAAAACAAATAGATAAAATAGAAAAAATATAGCAATAAAAAATTATTACATTTTTATTTTTTTATATAATTTTCATTTTAGATTTTACAGTATTTAATACATAATTAAATATACATATGTATATTGATATTTTTTTAAAAAAAGTTAAATATAAAATTAATTTATTAGTTCATTGGATAAAAATAAAACATTACCGGTAATCCAATATCAAAATAATATAGTAATATTAAAAATTTATAAAAAATGACATTTATTAGGTTCAAAATATATTGAAAATTTTCTCACAATTTATCTACAATTGTATACTAGAAACTATAATAATAAAAATACAAAGTTTTCTCTCTAAATAGATACTGTATTTATAATAAATATTATTTTGATAAATTTGTAAAAAAAACTCAATTTTCATTGTCGTATACACTTTCTTTTATAAACAAATATTTGCAAATTAAACAAAAAATTACTTACAATTATCAACAAAAAAATGTATTTTGACACTTAATATAATAATAATATTAGAGTAATAAATTGTAATAATATTCACTTAATAAATTCCCTGATATGTCTAATTAATTATATATATATATTATACATTATAACTAAATTTAGTCAATTAACAAATTGATATTGCTATTTTTATTATATAAATATTAATCACTAATTTGATTTGCAATTAATATATTAGTTAATTTAATTATTCTTAGTATTAGTAAATATTTTAATAATAATAATAATAATACTATTTAATTATGTTATAATCAATTTCGCTCCCAATAAAAAATTACTAATTTTATTAAACTGTTAACCATTTTTAAACGTTTCTTTTTGCTTAAATATTATTGTCGACCGCTATATCACGGATTGTTGTCATCAATTGTAATGATATTCAATGATAAGCGCTTCCTCTGAGTCTTCATAACCTATTTTTGGGTACGTTATGTTTAACGGGTGAGTACAGTGTGTGGGGGAGGACAGGGATATGGAAATATAGTGCAAACAGGTTTGTGATAGAAATTAATAAAATAAAAGATATGTTAGTGTTATTCAAATAATATTACATTAGATATTTATACTACTAATACTATATTATAGTTATAAATCAAATTAGCTTAAACAACAAATAAAATTAAATTAAACAAAATGTACTGAAATTAAATATCAATAAAAAATAATAATAAAACAAAATTCACAAATTGATAATTTAATGAAATAAATTTTTCAAATGATACTGACAATAAAAATAATATTTTTTAACATCAAATTTGATTAATTTAATATATTTAAAATAATTATTAACAATTTGCAAATAAAAAAAAACAATAAAATAATAATAATAATATAAATTTCACAATTAGAGTTAATTTAAATAAGTTCATTCGGAAAATTAATAAAAAATATAATTCAATTCAAATATATATTGAAATTATATTCAATAAATTGATTATTAGATTGATATCATGTAATGTACAACTTGTAAGTTACAATTAAATTAAAGGCACTTAATTTTTTTTAAAAAATTAAAAATAATAATTAAATCCATTAAATAGTATAATGTTAAACTATGTTATCAAGTAATATCAAGAACCAAATTAACCAATTAATTGATAAAAATGGTAAATAAAAAATAGTAAAAATAAATTAATAAAACAAAAAAAATATGTTACTGTTTATGTAATTAATATATTTGCTACCAATTACTACATAATCTCATAATTATTGTTTATGTTACAAAACAAGAAATAATAGCTATAATAATAATTATATTAAATATTTAGTCAAATTAGTCAATCAATTACTATATTAATAGATATAAAAAGTTTTTTTTTTATATATTAATATAAAATGAGAATCAAATGTAAAACAATAAAAAATATACAACAAAATTAGACAACTTTGTTGAAAATTTAAGTTTATAGCTAAATTCAATTAAAATAAACTATAAAATTTAATTAATTTTTTTAACCATGCATCATTAAGTTAATCATATATATTCAAACCTATCCACCAAAATTTTAAGTACAATATATACCTTGTATACTTTATATAGGAATTCATTAATTTAAAATATAAAAATTATTATCGTAATTATAGAAATAAAAAATTAGTTTTAAATTAAACAGTATATATATAAATATTGAAATCGTTAATTGATTGACTAATTCAAACCATAATTTCTGATAACTTAAAATAAAAAGATCAATAAATATATTACAATCAAACAATGATTATTTAAAAAAAAAGAGTATACACTGTCTATTGCATTGTCTGTATATTATGAAATATACTGTACTTTAAATCAAATACTAAATATAGTATTTCCTAAATGTTTAGATCTAATTAACAGTTCCTAAACATTACATGACATCAACAAAATATTCACATGGATTTCCCATTGCCATACGAAACGATTGTCGGCTACCGTTTATATCGCTGGACTGGCCATCCATTTGTTGCTGCTTTTCCGTATCCCTAGTAGTGTTAATAGTGGTTCCAGAATGTGTAGAACTGGTACCGCCACCGCCGCCCCCACTGATGCACGATTGATCACTAGCACCGTCCATCACAGGCAACAAGTTGTGATTGTTGTGTAATAGGTCGGTGCCGTTTATCAACGGCAACGGCCTTATAGCTCCTGGATGTAGTAGTGGTTGTTGTAATGGATTAGAAAAGGTCTGCATCGGTAGCTTTGGGTGCTGTGTCGGCGGCATTTGGTGCGCTCCCAGTAGTATAGGACCGCTTCGTTGGCTCATATCGTCAAAGTCACTACTAGCGCCGGGACTGGCGCTTTGGCGCTCACCCATTAATGAAATATCATTGCGCCGGTGGATAACACTGTCGTGTCCACTTGAAGCTAAAAATGTTTCAAACAATAAAGTTTAATTTAGACATCATTTTATAGCCTTTTCATCAACAAAACTCATACCTGAAGTACTATGAACACTGCCATCAGTGAAGGGCTGGGCTCCAAACATACCGTAGTTGTGAATTTCGCCGCCCGAACCCCATGGATGCATAAAAGGGGGCGCATAGCCGCCACCACCGCCTGCACCAGTGTACTGTTGAATCATAGATCTGACCGGCAGATCGGGTGGTGGCGGTAGATCCGGGTCGTTGATCTTAAGATTGGCAAACTCGCGGTCCAGTAGATTATCATTGAAGACATAATAGCACTTTTCGGAAAACGAATTCTTGTTTACCGTATGCTTAATAAACCCTTGTTTGAGCATTTGATTGGCATATTTGTGAGCCTCGCGTCTGTCTTGAAAGCCGTGAACATTTTGATACAACCAGTTGACTACATCAGAGCCGATAAATGCATTCGGTATTGTTATCTTAAGCCACATACGATCTTTGACTTCCAAACCCGAATCGGAATTAGCCATCGATTTGGCGATTATCATCATATCCATCTCGACAGACAAGTGCTGCGAATCCATTATCAATTGCCGATCAGATTCTGGTATCGATGTGTTCACAGAAGATGATGTGGATGTCAGTGTTGATACAGATGGAGGCCTTAGAGGATAATCTTGTTCTATATAATTATAAAATAAAAATCAATTATAAATTTTCCACATACCGTAATCATTAGATAAATTATGACTGACCTGTATAATGATTTGCCCGGGCAGCTTCGGTATGAGCCACCCACGCTCCCGGATCTATTGGCCGCACTGGTTCGGTGCGCGGTATTGTGAAATAGCCTTTCGGATTGGGATCCCAGCATTTGGCCACAACCAGTTTGATCGGTCCGGGCTTTTGAACCGCTTCTCGCAGTACCCGTACGGCGTCATCATTGGACATGTTTTCAAAGTTTGCGTCATTTACCTGTAAGATCATATCTCCCGGCTCTATGCGACCGTCCAGTGCGACTGCACCGCCCTTCATGATTGAGCCGACATAAATGCCGCCGTCACCGCCTTTATTGCTTTGGCCGACAATAGATATACCCAGAAATGAAACGGTGTCTAAGTTTAGTGTAACAGTAATTATGTTCAAAGACATCGTCGACTCTGTTATCGAGCTTATGGATGAAGTCTACGACAATATATTGAGAGACAAAAATATAGCAATAGATTAGTTAAGACTATCAATTGGCAAACAGTTGTTTCATAACATACCCGACTCATAATAGGCATACGGTGTCGGCGCCGTCGGCGACGATGTCGGTGATCGTGAATACGCGATACACTCGTCTCATCCGTTGTGGTCGATATGCGGCTATTTGTCTCATAACTTGTCGTCGATATATGACTGGTCAGTTCGTCGTCATCATCATCGTCGTCGTCGTCATCATCGCTGTCCACAAACGTAGTAGTTTCGGCATCGCTGGTCAACGGCAACGGTGTTATCCAGGCCACTACACGTCCCTTGAAAATCGGTAGCCGCGAACTATCGTCAATAATCTCTTCCTTAACAATACCGAAATCTGCGTCCAACGACTTGAAAAAGTACTTGTAATGAGTGTTTCCCGCAGAGGACAGTACGGCCTTAAAGTCGGCCAAAGTTATGCGCGATTGAGGAACCGGTATCTTCACCAGATATGGTGTCTCTTCATCGTCGCAATGATAGATGCATTGAGTCCAACTACGGGACGAGTCGGCCGGTCCGCCACTACCGATACCACCACCGCCGCCGCCGCCACCACTGCTGCCGTCGGGATCGCCGTCTGACGACACAATTGACGACTGCATTGTCATGTCGTTTGGTTTATGACATCAATACATATATAATAATATTATTATTAATATTATTATAACTATAATAATAATAATAATAATAAACAAATTGTTTATTAACAACAAATCACTCAAAACATTATACAATACATACAAATACAGTGTGTATTGTATTGTATTTTACTGTATATATGACTTGTTGTAAACAAATGGCTGTATTATTATTATAATGTATTAGTTTATGTATTTCTATACATGTCATCAATGTTAGTATTGTTAATGCTATGAATGGGTGTGACTTATATTTGATAGTGGGTTTTTAACACATGTGTAACAAAACAAGTTATATTTACGTTACATTAAACTGTATATATATATATATATATAAAATCTAATCTATAAATATTTAACATGCACTCAATATATATATATTATATATTAATAAATTAATCCTAATAAATAAAATACGTCAAATAAAAATATGTTAAACTTTATTTTTTAAAAAGTAATTTAAATAGTAATGTGTTTATTTAATTACTAAAATTTTTAAAAACTTAATTACATTAACAAAATAGTCCATGAGATTCATTATAAATATTTTTTTTCAATTATTAAATAAAATGATTAGCGTAAGTATTAAATGCAAACAATAGGGAAAAAAGTTGTAAAACTTAAATTGAAAACGATTTACTATTTAACAAAATAATTATTGAATTTTACTGACATAAAAAATATAGATAACTCATCGCATCACTTATACATTGTTATAAATAAGTTATATTTAAATATTATGTAAAAAAGTTATTAAAAATCTTAATATTTTATATTTATACAAACAAACAAAATTAATAATGCAAACAATTGATTATTTAATATTTTAATACAAAATTAATATAAAATTTGAATGATTAATAAATTAAGTTTTAATGATTTACAGTTAACATTACTTTCTGTAGTTATCTGATATAAAAAAATGTAATTTATACACTGTACAAGTAGTTGTACGTGCACTGTATACTTGTATTAAACATTAAAAATCACATAATTACTAATTGTAAAAACCATAATTAATTTTATGTAATTAAAAAACTTTTTTTTTAATTTGTAATAGTTTAACAACAATACCCCCAAATACTACCGGTAATTAACAATTATAAATTACCTGTACTTAATTTAGATATTAAAAAATAGACGATTGCCACAATTTGTTTTAATTAACATATATATAACTGTATATAAATTAAATGATATATTGATATGATTCACAAAAAAAAGTTATGTTTAATTAGTTTTATTTAGTTTAATCTAAATAATTATAATAATGTTTATCCAAACGACACGGTTTGTGAAATTCCTGTCCGTCGGCGTATATCCATTTGGTTGCAATCCATTTGTGTCCGACCAGTACCGGACACCCGCCGTGAAGCATATCCCAGTCTATAAACCCGGAGCTCTTCAGATTATACCAAAACAATGCCGAGCCTTTTCGTGGCTCAACCCGAACATCTAAATTAGGGAAAACAGTAGCACCGCCTACGTCAACATCGCTCAGGTAGTTAACCCATGTGGCGATCCGATTGAGATAATCGGCGTACGTTTCGTGACCCGAATAGGCACCGCCCGGTTTAGAGGTGGCCACATCGTTATGGTGTGCATAGTGCCCGCCGACACCATATTTGATGACATTATATAGGTCGGCGCTATAGGCGTTCAGTCGAGTAATAGCACTAATACGTCTCGTAATTTGTCGGACAATTGGATGATCTCTTTCAGTTAGCCAACCGCCCTCCGCCACCCGTGTTTCGGCCACTATATATCCAGTTTCACTGACCACTGTCGATCGCGACAGTCGAGGTCTGGCCAATAGTTTCATGATTGACACCTCGGTTGGTGAGAGAAAATCATGAAACACCAGAATCTCTGGCTTGTCATACATTTCTTCGACTTTGATTCGCGTCAGCCGAAGAAACGGACGGCTAGTTGTGTCCAAATAACGACATTTCAATCGCGACTCATATGTCCTGTTCATACGTTTGACTCCTCGACACAATTGTTGTGATATAGCATACAATACTTCTTGTGTTTTGTGCTGTTGTTGTTGTTGTTGTTGTTGTTGTTGTTGATCATCCGGTGTTTGTGATGCTGACCATTGACTTTCCGAAGTCTCTTCGGAATAGCTATTTGTTGTGTCGTTGTCTTCAGTTTCATCACTGTATTGATTGTCATCTATATCTTCGTCTTCGTAAACATTGCTTTCATCTTCAATGACTTTGTTCTTAAAAATAAAATATTAATTTAAAAATGTTAAAATTAATACATTATTTTCAACAAGTTTTTTATATTCAATAATTGCTTATTGATTGTAAAATATTTTCCAAATTATTGATAATAGTATTTATTAAATAATTTGTATTGAAATTATTTAATAAATACTATTATTACCGGTAATAATTTTGGAAACTATTTTACAATCAATATTTATGTTTATTAGGATTTTTAACTATTTATATACAAATATAACTTATATGTAATATTAGTAATAAAAATAAAACCGAGTAATAAAAAAAACTTACAATTAAATCGGCAAATAATTGATTAAACTGAAACTTATTGCTTAGCTGATCGGCAAATACATTGGCTTCATAGATAAACTGTCGAGCCTGATAGTAATCGCCCAGATTATAATAGGACAGTGCCAAATATTTAGCTATACTCGACTTAAGCAAATTAGATGTCCCATTATCTACCCGTTTGATGGTCTCGTTGAACCATTGAATAGCAATTTGATAGTTGCGAAAACTAAATGCTTGTTTTCCAATCAGATAACAATCAGAAATGGTTAGCTTATGTGTGTCGTCCGACGGCCCAAACGTTATCTCCCGGCCTTCCGATTCTGTCCAAAAACGCACCGTACCGTTAGCCAGGGCAGCAATGTCTAGCTTGTAGGTGTCCGCCAACTTAAGCAAACCATTGGCCGCATCAGTCAACTCATCGATGTGTACAGGATTTACACGATACCGGAGCCCATTGTGGGTCGACTTTTCCAATAGGCTGTCCACTTGTGGCCAATCTCTAGCCAATCGTTTGATAAGTAGATAAAGGTTTATCGGATGTGATAGATATGCATCTCCATCATTGACGGCCAACTGATTATAGCGTTTTAGTTCATCGATCGTTGACTTTAACCGTGAAAGTCGTTGATCTTCAGCAATGATATATTGCTCTACAGTTTGAATCCATGAGCTCTCCTGTATAAGTGTTGTCTCTAGTTTTGTAAAGTTTGTATTAAAACATTGTATAACACTATATAATAATGTGAATAATATAAATAAACTATAAGTTAGATTAGCTATTGTTTGATAAATTATAAACATTTTACATTATTTAAACAATATATATAAATATTGATTAGAAAACAGTGGAAATAAAATATAAAAATTTTATAAATACAACACAATTGTTTGAAATACAATTTTGACTGAAAAAAGATGTTATGATTATATGGTTTACTATTTGTAACATATTTTTTATTTTACTAAATACAGTATATGTGTGTACTTTCTATGCTATAAAAGTAATTAAAATTGTCTGTAAAATAAAAAAACAGATTTAAAATTAAAGGTCATGTATTAATAATAATAATAATAATAATTATTATTATTATTATTTGCTTAAAATTTTTTTTAATTAGCTTTAAATTGTTAAATTATATTTATTAATATAATTAAAATAATTATATTGTTGAGGAAATCCATTTTATATTTAATTTAATTATAATATTTTAATCTTTTTGTTTTTAACTTATTTTGATTTTTATTGTAAACCTATTTATATGCTTTTAATCCTTTCTTTGAATTGTTGATCGATTTGATCGATCAATACCTGACCTCTTCCTAGAAGTGATCGCTCTATGATCGTCTTCATGGCACCAGTTGATCGATCACTGACCTCACATACATACAGCCAACCAATAGCTCCACTTTTCCTACACATACATACTTGTTCTCAAATACAGTATAAATACTGCTGTATTCATAGTATACTCTCTCTCGTGCACTTCTACTTCAGTCACAGTCACTGCTACCCATACTGCCCAGTCAGTACATACCGGCCTTCAGTGCCATTCATACCATAACTCCATTATACACATCCATGTGCTTTGATAGTCCCACTATCCATACCTTCTAACCATTGTTTTAATTATCTTTTGAATTGTGAATATTATAATAAAGTATTATATCTGAAACTGTGTGTAAATCATTGTCTTAACCACATCACTGGATCGATCACCACATCTACCATACCTTCATCAAGCATTGGCTGATCGATCACACTTCAAGACTACCATTTCGCTGGCCATTCATACAAGTTATAGAAGTTATCAATAGTACTACGGATCGATCCCTGGCCTACACTCTGGTCACCACTTCTGCAGATCTGTATATCACTTTGATTGACACATAAAGTGCCTTTCAAGTGATCCTCAATATTAGTTGATTAGTCTTTGACCGATCAATTGATACCGTTGTGGGAATTGATGGAAACTATCGGTTGTTGATCTCATACCGACCCACGCTAGACAACTGATCCATAAGTTAAACCAAACCGCCCACAACAATATATTATCTACAAAAAATATACTTTCATAAAGTCTAATTAAAAAAACTAAAATAATGATTGAATTAAATATTTAATATAAACCTATAGTTTTTTTTAATAATATAGACAATATTTTACATACGTTAAAGTTTATAATATGGATAATTGGTTAGCCAATGCTAAAACATAATTTTTTTCAAAATAAATAAATTGTAAAATTTATAATAATAAATTCGGTCCATCAATATCCAGAGCACAGGGCTTACGAAACTCCTGTCCCAATTCGGGTATCCATTTGGTGGCAATCCATTTACTACCGGCCAGCACTGGACATCCGCCGTGATAGGTCATCATATCGACAATTCCCGATCGGTACAGGTTATGCCAGAAAAGTGCGGCACCTTTTTCTGGCCATACGGTTACATTGAGCAACGGAAACACTGTAGCACCGCCTGCCTGGACATCATCCAAATAGTTGATCCAAGTGGCCACTCGATTCAATAGTTTTGAGTACACCCGGGCAGTTAGTGGAAGATTGTTGTCAACGTAGACATCATAATGATGGGCGTAATAGCCGCCCACACCGTATTTGATAGCATTGAACTGTTCGGCACCAGTAATGTCAAAACCGGTAATTGCCGCAATTCGTTGGCTAATACCCTGAATAACCGGTGTCTCACTGTCGGCCAGCCAACCACCTTCAGCCACCCGATGACGATCGGTAACAAATAGACCCGTTCCGCCCAATGCTACAGTTGTGCGCTTGAGTCTAGGTTTGGCCAACAATTTCAGCTCTTGAATCTCGCGATCAGTCAGAAATTGGTGTATAACTACAATCTCTGGTACAGTATTCATGAGCTCAACTTTGATACGACTCAATCGTAGCGCCGGTATGTTTGTAGTGTTAAGATAACGACAGTGTAGTTTCGACTGAATTGATAAATCTAATTGTCGGTCACCGCGACATAACTCGCCGGACATTTGTTGTTCACTGACTACCGGTTTCATGATTTGAGATTCATTGTACATATCCTAAGTAGTAAAAATGTTATAATATCTTCAAAACATTTATACTATACATGCTATTTGATTATTATTTTACCTCCAGTTTCCCAACAATGGTCTCAATGTTATCTTTATTAGGTATGATCTCTATTGATTTGTTTATCAATGACTGTGCTTTCGACAAATTGCCAGTACGGACCTCACAGTAAGCCATGTGTTCATAGATATCAGCCAACAGTGCACTGTTAGTCCTATTGTTGTCTGTCCTATCAATTGCCGCCTCAAACCATTGTCGGGCACTGTTATATTCAAACTTGTCGTAACATTGTTTGCCAATTATAAAACAATCAAAATCTGTTAGCGAGACTACAACCGATGATCGGCTATTTGTAATAACTTTTTTCATATCATTAGTTGATGTGTTATATTTAATAACACCGGTAGCCAATGATTTGATATCAATATCATAAATGTTAACCAAATCTCTCATACCTTCAATAGCATCTAAGTTTTAACAGAAAAGTTTGTTATTAGCAAAAAACTATTAGTTAATTATTCAGAAATTTTTATTAATAACAATAATAATAAATCACTTTTTCTTACCATTAAAATCATTATCACTGATAACCTCTTGTCGATTACCAATATAATCAAGTTTTTGCCACATATCAAGTGATTGAATATCGACAACCATTTGAATTGATAGGACTTCCCGTAAAAGTCGGATACACTCATCAATCGATTTGTTTAAATCTTTCCAATCGACGGCCAGTCGACGAATCAATAAATAGACATCAATGGGATGGCCTAACATCATAGGACCCGATGCTGATGAAACACCATCATCATCATCAGCAACAGCAATATCATTACCGCTGGCAACAGTGTTTAATGTCTTAAACTGTACCAACAATTGTCTGACATTTTGAACAGTCGTCGCTTGTGTTTGAAGTAATCTATTGATGGCATCAATAGATTGTCTCTCTTTTATCAACAGTTTTTCAAGTTTTGTAAACTCTATGTTAAAAGAAACCGCAATTTTGACTAAATATAACAACTTATACACTACTAATGTAGTAATTATTAATTTCATTTTTATCTAAATTTTCTTTCACTTTTATTTAAAACTAAATTTTACTTTTATATTATGTATAATAATTTAAATAAATAAAATGTAATTTAATAATTTGAAATAAAAACATAAATATAAATAGTTGAAAAATATAATAAAAATTACATTTCATTTACAATTGTAATGAATTTATACATTTATATGTTTTATAATGAAAATAAACAAAATTTATAGTAAGATTGTTAAATACATATAAAAGTATAAAAGCATATTTTAAGTATAAAAATTAAAACACTTGTTTTATTGTTTAATATTCAATAGTATTTATTATTAAAACAATATGACTTTAGATGCTATAAAAATACTGGATATTTAACATTAAAACTTTTTTTTTATTTATCAATAGTTTTGATGATATAAAATAGTTAATTAGTTTTTTTTGTAATAAATATTTTTAAAAATATTATTAAAGATATATAATATTATTGTTTTTTTAATATCTATTTTTTCATAAAAAATTCCCAAAAACAAATCCAAAATGGCGTCAAACATAGGATCCGATGGACAACCGATGCCAACAACACCAACAATACCTATTGGATTACAATATCTACTATCGGCCTATAATCGGTTAAGTGACCTGACATGAGGTATATGTCTGGATATAGTTTGACAGCCAACGGTAACACCATGTTGCCGGCACATGTAGTGCTATCAATGTACAGTATAAGGACAGTACAATCATTGGGTCCACTATCACTCACTGTAATTTACATACATAAGCACAGTGCGATTTTATGAGACACATAGTTTCAGGGCTAATAATATTTTACATTAATTATTAACAGTATTATTATTAATAGTTATTTTTGTGTGTAATTAAAATAAAAATTACATTTTATTTTATTTTTAAAAACTGTATATCAATGTTCTTTAATCAATACACTTATGTTATAAGATATAAGTACATAAAATTTTTTATTTAATATTATTATTGTAATATACAATATATAAAAATATATAAGTATACAAAATATTATAGAAAATTACATTTGAGTTTATTTTATTTTTATTTAAATAATAATTAACAAAAAAATTTTGCTAAACATATATAATTTTTTACATTTATATTATTTATTTAAATATTTATTTAAAACTAGATAGTATTAAATTATAAAGTATAGTAGATACTTTAATATATATTATGCACATGTACATTATTCAACATGTATACATACTATCCATCACATGTGTATTTGTTTACTTATATATCTTATTTTTATACTTATATCTATTTGATGATTAGAGTACACTATAGATATATTATGTAATATTTTTATTAAATTTCAAAATGCAATAATAATTTTAATTAAAATAATTAGATAATTTTTTTTCTAAAAAAACTTAATAAACATTAACACAAAGTTTAAACTTAAACTTAATATATAAATAGTATTAAAAAAACAATATTTTTTTAAATTGTCAAAATTGTATTTAGAATTTATGTTTACTTTTAAAAATTGAATCAATTATATATTTATTTAAATAAAAACAATTAATAATGATTTTATTAAGTAATTTATCATTAATTAACTCAATTTTATTATTATCTACCACTACGATAATATCATATTTAGTTTATTTTTATTTGTAAGCTTTATTTATAAAAAAATTATTTAATAAGATATTTAATAATAATAATATTTATTGACTAATTTTTTGAAAAATATATTATAATTATAGAAAATGGAGTCGAGCTCTAAACTATTGGAAATCACAAAACATTTCTGGACCCAAACCGTTACCGATTTTCGGTAATATATTATCCCGATTTTTACGGCCAATGTCCACTGTTGAACTAGAATGGTATAAAAAATATGGACAAATTTTTGGGTAAATATATATAATTGATTTTTTAAACCTATTAATCTAGTTTCTATTGAAAATTTAAATAATTATTATATTAATATATTTAGCATTTTATCTATGATTAATTACTTACAGTTTTTTTAATATTAATATTTATTTAATTATTATTATAGTTTATTTTACTGTATTTAGTAATTATAAATTACAAATATTAATATCTATATATATATAATATTTAACTAAAATAGTAAAAATAAATTTACAATTTACCCATAATTAACTAATAAATATTTATAAATATATAGTAATATTAATAAAATAGTTATTTTATAATTACTAATATAACTAAATATTAATTTTTTAAAAATAATCATTAATTTTACTTTACTTTCAATTAATCAATCAGTGTCTATACGGGCGACAAACCGGCCCTTTCGGTCGCCGATCCGGAACTAATCAAACAAATACTGGTCAAAGATTTTCATTTGTTTCGCAATCGCAGGGATAACGGTTCCCGACATCCGATTATTACGAAAAACTTGTTCGCCGCCCGGGATGACCATTGGAAACGTGTCCGGGCTATAGCTTCACCAACGTTTTCGTCGGGAAAGATGCGTAAAATGTATGCCTTAATCAGGGAATGTTGTCTGGATTTTATCAAACACATCGACAACCAGTTGGTGGATACTACCGGTGCCGTAGACAGCGGCAGTGGTGGTCAGGTAGAGCTGAAAAAACTAATGGGCAACTATACAATGGATGTAATAGCCCGGTGCGCATTCGCTACGAAAACCAATACCTATAGCCAACCGGACAATGAGTTTACCACACGGGCAACAAAAGCATTTACTACACCCATTTGGCGTATGCTATTGTTAGGTGCATTGCCCAGTCGACTGTTTCAATTGACAGCCGCACGCAAACTGGTTATCGGTGCGGATCATTCAAAATTTTTCATCGATGTTTCACGCAATCTGATTAATCAACGTAAAGCTAACCAACAACTAAAATACAACGATTTTCTACAGTTGCTTATGGATGTCGAACGGCCAGACAATGCTAACGTAGAGAACCGGGAGGAGATGATCGGCACCGATACCAGCGAATCCCATCACGTACTGGAAACTGGTCAGGACGAGCTCCGAGCTAAACGCCAGGCACTGGCCAATGATTTTATGGGCGAAAAAAAGTTAACCGAAAACGAAATCCTAGCCCAGTGTTTCGTATTTTTTATAGCCGGCTACGAGACAACAGCATCGACACTGGCCTACTGTTTCTATGAGCTGGCATTGAATCCCCAGCTACAGGACCGGCTATACGAGGAGACTCAGCAAGTGTTTGACTCCGACGGTAACATTGACTATGAAGTACTATCGCGCCTACCATTTACCGATTCATTACTATCGGAAACGTTGCGCCATTATCCGCCACTGTTACGACTGGATCGGGAGGCTATGGCCGATGTTAGACTGGGAGGTACCGGTAGCCATAACAGTATAACAATTGAAAAGGGTTTGGTAGCCGAAATACCGGTCTATGCTATACATCACGACCCCGGCTACTATCCCGATCCGTTTAGTTTCCAACCGGATAGGTTTATGCCAGAAAACCGTTCAAAGCTTATACCCTATACCTACTTACCGTTTGGTGCCGGTCCACGTAATTGTGTTGGTATGCGTTTTGCACTGTTGGAAGCTAAGCTAGCATTGGCCCAACTGACCCGCAGGTTTAGGTTTAGTCGGGTTCCGGATACTGATGTACCGGTTGTATTCAATAGGGGTCGGTTCCTATTGCAAACCAATCGTCTGGTGGTCGGTATAGAGAAGCGCTAACAGTATAGTTGTACTGTTGTTGTAGTCTACATAAGCTATTGATTTTGTTTGGTTTTTTTGTTGAAAAATATATATTTGTTTGTATATATATTTGTTTGTTTTTAAAATTTATAATATATATTAATAGATTGTTTTTTTTTTAAAAATAAATATTCATATTTTTCAGAGCTATTGAACTAAATAATATTTTTTTTAGAAATAATATTTTTAAAACCGTATACTTATTAAAAAAAAATTACAGTTTACTTTTAAGTTTATTTTGTTTGTTTCTATATTAAATAAATATTAATATATGTTAATATTAGATTAACTCTATATTAAATTTTATAGGTATGAATAAAATTTGTTGATTTTAGTTATTATTTAATTACTATTTTGTATTAATAATCGTATTATTGGTTAAAAATTAACCTAAATTAATATAATTTTTTAAGAGTTTATATATAGCATATAAAGTAAAAAAAATTAATAGATAATTATAAATGTATTGATAGTAAATATCCCCCAAATTATGCAATATTGTAGTATAAAACTATACTTTATTATTATTAATTGATATTTCAATGTTAAGGTCGACTAAAGTTTCAAAACTAATTTAGTGTAAAAAAATATTAATTTGTTTTCAGATGTATTTTAATTTTTGTTTTACTTATGTATAAACTTTTATATCAAATTTCATTGAAATTATTGATAATTTTTACAACAAATAACATGATTTTACTTTTTTTTAACTTTAATGATTAGTAAGTTCAAAGTAATTTAACATTCATATAAAAAATACATCAAAAATATTAGTCAATTAATTTACATTTTAACAAAAATATAAAAATATTATTATATTTGTTAAGACATTAAGCTTGATATACTGTACTGTATAAGCACTGGTAGCTTATAATTTTGAACTTTCACCACTAGTCCGTTGCTCAGCAATAGCTTCATTGAATGCCCGACACAACAGTTCAACTGATGCTTCGGTAGCGTTAACACCGAGAAAACCTAATCGCCAGATACGGCCTGCCGTAGGACCCAAACCGCCCGCAATTGTAATGTTATAGTAGTCGAGCAAATTTTGGGCCACTTTTTCTACGTTAATATCTTTGGGTACGATTACCGACATAATAGCCGGCAGTCGATGATCGGGTTCAGTGACTAAAAACTCCAGTCCCTGTGCACTGATGCGCTGCTGAACTAATTGACTACATTTACGGTGTCGTTGAATAACATTTGCCAGTCCTTCTTCGGCTACCAGTGACAGAGCCTCTCGAAGACCATACATAAGCGATATGGCCGGTGTGTAGTGATAGATATACTGGTGATTGTTATCCGGATCTAAGCCCCAGGCTTTGGCCAACCAATTAATGTCCATATAATATGAGTCGACATCATGGGTACGATTTTTGAGCCGATGTACCGCTCGTGGACTCAGCGATAGTATGGAAACTCCCGGCGGACCGGACAGTGCTTTTTGACCGCCACTATAAATGGCATCGATTTCCTGGTGATCCATATATATTGGTGCACAACATAGCGATACAACTGCGTCGACCAGCAATAGACAGTCATATTGATGGCACACTCGTCCAATACCGTCCATTGGCTGCAGAGTACCAGTGCTGGAGTCGCCGTGGCACACGTATAACAGTTTTGGCCGGTGCTTTTCTATAGCAGCTGAAAAATACATAGTGTTTTTTTAAGATACGGTTTAACTTAGTTACAATCAATACCTTCAATTTGGCTCAACTCAAGTACACACCCGACCCGTGAAACTGGTAATTGAATAACTTGGTAGCCGTGTTTGCGGCCAATCAGTGCCACTCTTTCACCCCAAATACCATGAACTGCAACCAAAAACTTATCGTCCGGTTCCAGTAGATTACAAATAGCTGTTTCCATGGCACAGGTAGCCGAACCAGTGATGGCCAACGAGTATTGATTTTGTGTCTGAAATACATACCGAATACCGGCCGACACTTCGCGCAGTACCTGAAAAAACTGCGGATCCATATGATTGACAACTGGCAGTGCACCGGCAGCTCTGACTCTTTGGCTGATGTTTGTTGGGCCCGGAGTCATGAGCTGACGCTCATTGATTACCAATGGTTTAATCAAATCATTGGGCACAGGTATGTATTCAGTATTTGAGCTAATAGTAGTCGTTTGAAAATCTCTTTTCTCCAATTGAGACATAGTTTGTTAAATTATAAGTTTTTTTTTATTATTAAAAATAATTAATTTACAGTAATATCGTACAAAAAATTTAATTAATTTATGTTTAAAATTTTAAAAACATATTAAATTTTTATAATAATTTAAATAATTTGTTTTGATTAGAAAAAATATCTATCAAATTAAACAACATTTTATTACTATTGATTTGTTTGCTATTTTATCTTAAAATACCGTATTATCAATAGTAATGTTTTATATCAAATATATTCATATAAAATGTAAACATATTTGATGAATCATGATGATTAAAGTATTGATTTTATTAATTACTTTTTTTAATGGCATTTATAATAGAAAATATAATATTAAAATGTAATAGTGTTTATAATAAATAAAAAAATATTTAAACTATTATTATTATTATTATTTTTCAATCAAACTATTATTATTATTATTTTTCAATCAAACTATTATTATTATTATTATTTTTCAATCAAACTATTATTATTATTATTATTTTTCAATCAAACTATTATTATTATTATTATTTTTCAATCAAACTATTATTATTATTATTTTTAAATCAAACTATTATTTTTTAATAATACCAATAAATTTTGTATAGTATTTTTTATTAGTTAAAAACTATTAATATTTAATTAATTCATTACTAATAATATATTTGATAATATAAATGATATATTTATTAAAATGGTTTAACATTAATAACTGTATGAATTATTTTCAATATTTATTTTTTATCTAATTTTGTAAAATTAAATTAATATATGAAAAAGTTATACTACTATAATACGAAATTGTTTTATTTAGAAACTTTTAAACTTTATAAAAATTTTTAATTTAGAAAGCATAAATTAAATTAAATTATTAATTTTTAAAAATAAAAACTTATTTTAAAAAAACATTTAATATATTATTTTTTTATAATGGCATACTTTATAATATTTACAAATTATAATTTTATTAATTTTTAACGTAATTAATTAATTAATGGTTTTTAATTAAACACATTTGGAGTACAGTATCAACATTTTCTGTAATACTATTTATTAAAATTAAAACACATTTAAATTAATTATAATGTAAACTATTGATTATTTTATAATTTAATACAGTATAAATCATAATTTGAATCACAAATAAATTAAGTTTTACAATGACAGTTAAAATTACTTGTTTGAAAATTGCATTATTTATTTGTAAGTCGCTTAAAAAAAATCTAAGTATTTTAAATAATTCAAAATAATCAAAATAATAATAATAATATACAAAAAAAATAATAAAAAAAATACATACAAATTATAATTAGATTTTATTCAATCGATAACCGCAACGACTCCGGACATTGCAAATATGATGCCCATTGATATACGGGACAGAGTTTTGGCATTTATGTTCAACTACGGGGACCCGGAGTTTAAACATCCGTCCATTACAATGATAGGACTATTATGTAAATTAAAGTATATAAATTTATATACATATTATCACTAATTATTTAAAAGTAAATAACATTAATATTAAAGCTAATTAATATGAAAATGTTTTTTTTTATATTTTTAACAAAAAAAATTAAGTAATAAATTTAGTTTAATGATGAAAGAATTGGTTAATCTGACGGCTTCAACCTATAATGACAACCCAGTTGTCAGACATACGGCTGAACTGATATTTGCCACACCATTCATTGTCAGACAATCCTGTATCGAAGCTACCAGTCCTATGGGACGATCCAGTAATCAATTTATCCGTATAGTCAACGAAAAGCGTTTGGAAGCCAAAGATTATCGTTATTTTTTGAATACATTGCTAACCGATGCGACCAAACCTAATACTAGAGTAACAATTGGACAGTTAGTTTGGTAAGTAATCTCTCAACTCTCTCATGTTGTTGTTGTTGACCATTAAACAAATTTATCATTATTTTCCAATATTAAATTTATGTATATGTTTTTTTTATTGTACAAAATATAAAGTTATTTAAAACTATGGATTGAAAAGACAATACTCAAGTATCCGGTCAAAGACGATGTCCAGATTCGGGTCAGTGATCACATTCATCAGGTACTCGATCCGGTAGTCGACTACTGGTCAACATTGGACACACCGCAAACATGGTGTAGTTTTGAACAATTATTGGACAAACAGCCACTACCACCACGTTTTAAGTCTCTAATGTTAAATCTAATCCATGCTATCAGCCATTTAGTTAAACCTATTAATAACCTCATTCAACGATCCACATATTAATTGTTGATTATATATAAAACACAAGTATTTTAATATGAAATATATAATGCATTTTTAAAAATAATTTTTATAATATAAATATTTTCAAATTTATATAAACAATAAGTTATCAACAAAAAAAAACTTTGATACACTAAACTTTCATTTCATATATATATATATATATATATTTATATATAAAGATAATCAAATTATAATAATTTTATTTAATTTAGTTAACTTTCATTGTATTTATAATCCATTTGAGAAAATATGATACTTGAGTGTAGACACCGGGAAAATCATCTAAAATAATAGGTGATTAAAATAAACATTAGATTGGATCTGATTTTAAAATAAATATTTTAAATAAAAATTAGTAAAACAGTAAATACCGGCACATTTAGCACCATATGAAACAATTCCTACCATAAAAAATCGGTTACCATCTGTTAATCATAAAAAATATAAATTAAATTAAACACAAATTTCGTTATAAACTATATTTTAATTTCATACACAGATTTTTGCTTATTAGCCACAATATAATAATAGTTTAGAAAAATACATACACTTTTCAAATGCTGGACTACCAGAGTCACCCTTTTTTAAAAAAAAACAAATACACACACACATATATTAGTTGTAACAATAAATGCAATATATAGAAATATAGTAAATAATTATAATTTCTAGACATAACTATATGTTATGAATTACATACCAGACAGGTATCCTTTTTGTAGGCCAGTGTACAGAATTGGGATTCAAATATTTTTTGTCGTCTTTGCTGATATTTTTTGGCACAATCTTTATCGGTAATCAACGTAAGGCTAACATCCTTTAGATACTGTTCCATTTCTTCGGCGTCAAATTGTTTGACACCCCAACCGGCCACTACAATCTTTTCGGTACGCGGCTCGGCATACGTATTGTTAGGCAGACAGGTTGGTTTGACTTGATTACTAAACTCAATGGGACTGTAGGTTTTCATCAGTGCTATGTCCGAGTTTAACATTGAATTCAAATTGAAACGTTCGTGTATTCGCACTATGGAAACGATAGTTTGTAGATATATATAGTAAAGTATAAACAGTATGCGGACAGGTATGTCCTGGCGGGTGGGGATGGGAAAAATGGTTCAACAACAACACAAACAAACACATATAGACCACCTTTTTTAATTTTATATGTTTTTCCTCTATTTCTGTCATTGGTGCCCACCCTAATCGACCAGGTATATTGATCGTAGGTTAGTTTTCTAGGGTTAGCATTATATATTTTTAGTAATAAATAATAATAATAACAAATAGCAATTAATTAAATTATAATATAAAAACTTTTTTGTTTGTTTGTTAATGAATATAATAATAATAATACCCTTTAAAACAATGTGCGGCCGTTAATATCTGTTTAAAAATACAAAAACTATTATTTGTAAATTTTGTTTAATAATATATAAATATAAGTTTTTAAAACATCAAATCAATTACTATAATTTATAAATTAATGAATTAAACTTAAAATATTTCAATAATGTGAACTCTATCTTATTATTATTATATGTATTTAAAATTATATGTTTTTTTGCACAAAATAATGATTATTAGATAAATAATTTTAAATATTTTAGAGCACCAAAAGATAATATTAAAAAAAAATTATTATGATTTTCAAGATTTTAAATGCAGTAAATACAGTAAAGTATCTAAAAATACAGTACTAACCCAATACTGATTAATAATAGTACCGCCACATTGTGGCTCCCCGTCCATCAATATGACGACCAGCCACGGATAAAGACCTTCGGGTGCGTTTCGTCCGCCAATAATACGAACTGAATTAGTTGACGGATAACCGCATGTTTTGTCGTACAGTTCCCGCCCTAAACCATCACCACTGCCATCACTATCATCAGTGTTGTCGTGGCTGTTGTTACTACCAATTTTGTCAACATTTTCACTGTCACTATCATCAAAATCAGTGGACAACATTGGCATTGATTTTTCATTATTATTATTTTTATTATTGTTTGTTAAATAATTGACAATTTTTGCCGGTCTATAACTGTAATGATAGTTTACTAGTGGCCAGTAGTTTGATGATGAATGATCATCGGGATACCGGTGCCGCTCGTATCGGCGTATATTGTAATCAGTGTTATCGGCAAACGGCCTATTGTTATACAGCTTTTCATAATCGTTATAGTTTCCGTAATCATATGGATAATACAGATAAGTGTTAGCCAATTGTAAATAAAAAACTGTGAGTATAAATTTTTTTCAATTATACAACATATAAATAAATTATTATTTTTTTTAATTAAGGTTTATTGAATAATAATAAAAAATAATTATCAAATCTAAAAAAAACTAATCTTTATCAAATACTCACATATGACAAGATAGATAAATAAATTGTAGCATGGTGACAATTTTATTGTTGTCGACATTTATTAATCTGTTTTAACATTTATTTAAATTTTAAAAATATTTTTTTTTGACAAATTATTTATATTAATATTATTTTTGTTTATTAACTAATAAAAAATGCAGACATTTTTATACTGTATTTATATGATTAGAAATTTTATTTTAATTAACTTTATAATATAATAATAATGTATAATATGTGATATTTTATTTATAATAACAATATTAGTATTAATAGGTTAAAAATAATTATACTTAATAAATTTTTAAAAATTATTTTTATATTCAATATTTATAATAGAAATAAATAATTATAAATAAATTCAATACTAATATATGTATTTAAATTATAAAACACAACTTTTTTTTACAAATAATATATATTTAAGTCTACAAAACATATATATAAATATTTATTTACAGGTATTTATGTTATAATAATTTTTGTCATTTATAATTTACTATAGCTATTAAATATTAAAATAATTTATTATAATTTAAAAAAATGTTTTTTTGAGTTGGTATTTTTTTTTGTAGATAATCTGTGTGTAAAAATGGTAATGTAAAGTTTTTAGCAAAAAAATTAAAAAATTAAAAATAAATACATTAAGTAAATCTTAAAATACAGTAAAAAACCTACAGTATGTTGTTTATGTTATTTTAATTTGTTTAAATTGTCTAATAATTAGAAAAAATATATATTGTATAAATAATTTATAAAATAAACTTGATGATCTCACTACACTACTATTACAATAATACAGTAAAATAAATTAATTTAATATTTAATGTATGACATAATGTATAATCATTAAAACATTATTATAAAATGATTTATCAAAAAAAAAATAATATTGCAAAAGCTGTATGAAATATATGGTACATTTATAATTTAAAAAAATATCTATAAAAAAAACTAACTGTCCATTTAATGTTCATGGTGTTCATGAAATAGGGATGTAATGGCCAGCATAAAGCCAAACCCAACTGTCATTGCCATAAACTGTAGGACAGGTGTCAATCGGTTGACCCGATGTTTCTGTAGTATTTCGAAAAACACAATATACAGTACACTCCCGGCGGCCAATGCGCTCAACACAATGACCAACAAATTGGTTTCGCTGTGCGTGTCGAGCGATTGTTCGGCCAAAATGACCACAAATATGCCGATCGGCGACATAATAGCAAAACAGATCATATGAAACACTAACAATGCAAATGTTTGACACTTGTCGTAGAGCTCGACACCGATGATTAGGGAGATAATCAGTTTGTGAGATGCAATTGCTATGAAAACGGTCCACATTTCCGATATGTCTGTCCGCACGCCAATGGATATGCCATCGAATATAGAGTGTATGGAAAATGTGGTCACAACTAGCAGTCCGTGTAGAAAACGTACCCAAAACGGATCATTGATGTGAGGGTCGTCCGATTCTGGATCTAATTTTATGATATAACAAAAAAAATATAGTATTTATTTGGACAGTTAATCAGGAAATTATGACTAACGTCTGTGCTCTATAACTATAACGACATCACAATCATTGTCGCCATTGGTATTATCACTGGCGGTCACCAATCCCCGGTGTTGCGATCTGCAGCCTGTTTTGTTGTTCCGGTGCTCGTTGGCCAGTATAGCTGACCTTTCGTCACAATCGACTTTATCGCAATGATCGGTAACATTACCTTCAAATTCATCAACAATTTTAATATTATTGTTATTGATATTGTGATCAGTTTTGCTTTGTTTAACATCGTTCATAGGCTTATCATCTAATAAATACTGTTTTTCACTATCGATACGATGGCCAACCAACCGGTGCATCAGTACTTCGGCCAAATAGATAGCAAAAAACCCGCAACAAATGACAATCTCGAGATACGGTAGTTCAAGATCTTCAATACTTTTAGGTTTGTCCTCAATATCGGTGCAATTGTCAGAGTCGACAAATATCGAGTGATTACTTTTGAGATAAATCTCGAAGTTGTTCCGAACTTCGGGAATCATATGGACTAATACCGTAAAAAATAGTATACCACCGCCCAGTTGTGTAACAAACTGTACGTAACGATTATCAGATAGTGTACAGATAGATGATTGTTGGACAGAGCAATGATCATTGTCTTTATCAGTACTAAATGATGAACCAGATTGGCTAATGTTGTTGTTGCCACCCGATTGATGTTTTCGCCGAACCCATGAGCGATACCAGAGGACAGGTAGCGTACCGGCCACTAGTGTGGCTGCAAACAGTATTACAGATGATAATAATCTCGAAAATAATAGACTCATATCTATGTTTTATTATAAAAAAAAATAATAATATAATATATTAAATGTTTCATAAATTATAGCGTTTTAAATAAATCTATTTAAGAAACTTATTTTTTATTGCATTCATATATTGAAATGTATAATAAAATTGTTTTTTTTCTGATAATTTATTAATTTAAGTATAAAAGTAAATATTATTTATACTCTCTCATTACCTTTATATAAATTATATTTTAATGATATATCATAAATATTCAATATGTATTAACTTAGTCTATGATTTACTACAGTATTATCAATAATACTGTACAATACAGTATAAATGTTTGTATATAAATGCAATGAATATAAATTCATAGTTAAACATTTATAAACTGATATTGAATTTAACTAACTAGCATTTAATTATAACTAGTATCAATAACTAAAATTACTGTATATTTTTTTGCTATTTTATTTGTAATACAATGATATATTTTAATAACTTTATATACTACTAGCATATTGTAAATTCTTAAGTATCATTAAAAAGTTATTTAACTATTTTGCAATTAAATATTTATGTCATTAATATTTATTTTATTTTAACTTAGAAATTATGTTTGGTTATAGCGCTTACCGTAATACAAACAAAATTGCTACCAATACTTATTATTAATAGACAAAAAAATGCACAATAATATTTGAATAAATTTGAATAAAAACTACTATTAAAACTAAATGACAAAAATCTATTATTTTGTTTAAAAAAATGTAATTATAATATAACTAATTATTGCTAACGTAATGGGTGGTTACATAATAATATTGATAATATAAATTATTTATTAAAAAAAATATATAATTTTTCTTTGTGTAACACTAAACCATACAATTATTTGAGTTTATTAAATATGTCAAAACATAAATTTTATGTAATGTATATAATGTAACATATTATCAATTATACTGTATTTATATATAAACTTATATTTTTTTATATATATATAAATTTATTCTAAATAATATAACAGTATTTAAAACATAATATCAATATATATTATATATTGTTTATTTTATACTTAAAATATATTGCGAATCACATTTACTAGTATATATATACTATGTATTTATTATTATTATTATTTTCACTATTTATTTTTAATATCAGTTCAGTGATTGATAATTATATATACATAACTGACTTCACTTTTTAATTATCACTGTTTTTATTCACATACAACAAAAAATACATATACTGTAAACATTGATTAATAACATTATTAGTCATATTATAGTTTCACAGAAATTAGATTAAACAAAAAAAAACAACAACGAAACTTGTTGTTCATATTAATTAGGATTTAAATTTACAGTAATATAATTTATATTATCATATATAAAAATACTGTATCAATTGTATAGTTTAATATAATATATAGTTTCTACAATTTATAAAATAAAAATAAATTTTTGTGTGTCAAAGATTTTTTAGAAATACAAATTTGTATAAAAATAATTATCTTATGCATCCATATAATTATAATGCTGTATAATATTATTTTTGAAATACAACAAATCTTATAGAGATTAATTAGACTAATAAATATAAACTAAAATTACCATGTTTAGTACAATAATATTTTTATAATGATAACAAACTATAAATATAATATATATAAGAGTATTATTATTAATAATAATAAATTATTAATTATTTATACTTATTTATATATATAATTATTTATTGTAATGATAAAAAGCACGTGTCTTAAATTTTTAAAAATAATATATTGTGTTTAACTATTTAATTATCTAGTTTTGTAAAGCGTGATAACATATTTTTTTTGTTGCTCTAATAAAGTGTTTTTATAAATATAGTAATTTTTGTTTGTACTCTAGATTTTATTAAGTAGTATTATCATAATGTTTAAATTTTATGCACTTATTTTTAGAAATAAATAAATAAATTTATCTACAGAAATTTATATATATTTATTAAACCCAATTATAAATGATAATAAATATTAATTTTAAGTTATATACATTATATTATTTTATATGATATTATTATTATTATTAAAAAATAATTAAATAATACTATTTTTTTAGCAAACAGTAGAATTACTTTCTATTTATCAAAATTTGTTCATTAATTAATTAATAAAATTAAATAATAATAACATATTTTTAAAAATAATTATAAAAAAACTATAAATAAATTAAAATTAATGTAAAATGTTATCAGCGATATAAGTTATCACAATTAAATTATAAATGTAATTAAATAATATGAAAAAATAGATATGTATTTATATTATTTTGTACATTAATTTATGTTAATTATCTCAACAACAAATAAAATCTATTGTCTCAGCGATTTAATCCACAGTACAATGTATGCCAATAATCTTAGCAAAACAATAATGGCCACTAAAATCCATAGATCGCGACCAAAATTGTCGACATCAAAGTTAAGCATTTTGATTACCGATCGGCCGTCGGGTATACACGTGATTACCGTACTGTTGGCCGACTGTTGTCCGGGACAGGGAATACTAGTAATGTCCAGCCATTGATTGATAACCAGTGCCTCATTGCCATAATAGAACCACGATATATATTTTATCCAGATAAAATAATCAGGTATTGAGCTAGTTAGTTTTTTTTTTAAATAAAATTATTTAAATTAAAATTTAGATTTATTAAAAATATTTTTAAAATAATAATTTATAAAATTTATCATACTCATTGTTTAGAAAAAATCCGCCAAATATCATTAGAGGCATCAAAATTGCCGGTGCAATGGTCAGTGCCATTGTTACGTTTTTGCTTAAACACGATATCAAATAACCAAAACTGGTTGCACTGTTAGCTATGAGTATGCATATTAGCAGACAGTAGAAAAATGCACCGACATTACTGTTGAGGCCAACCATAAAATAAAATATACAGACAAATAGGGACGGTATGAATATATAAGTGGGTAACTGAGAAAAAAACAATTTAATAAAAATTTAAACAAAATGCTAAATAAATATAACTACTACTAATAATAATGAAAAATGCTATTTTATTATAACATTTATTACCTCGGCTATCATTTTGGCCAAAAAATATGAGCTAACCCTATAGATACCGTTTTCATGATCCCTATGAAATATAGGTATTTCCGCACAAAATGTCTATTTGTATTAATTAAAAAAAAAATAAACATAAATATTTTTAAAGTATTATTTAAACAGACAACTAATTAAATTATAGATGTACTAATCAATTGGTTTTACTTACATTGACTACACCAAACAAACTGGTCAAATTCATGTTCATAAGCAACAGGTACAATGCACCGTTAATATTGGTAATGCCTACTTGATCCAGATCCAATTGTAAATAAATTAAACCAAATATTATGGCAATAATCTACAACAACAACAACAAAATTATGAACTATTATCTTAATTACAAATATCGTTACTATAAATATTGATTTTGTGTTTGAAAATTAATATATAATATAAATATTAGTAAAAAAAATTTTATTAAAAAAACCTACAGCTGCCTGTGCTATAAGTATACGCGTCAATAGTTGATCCCTGAATGTTGTGGTCGTTGATCGCCACAACAGTTGCCCAAACTGTATAAACCAATTGGTTTTGTATTGTGTGGCCAGTAGTCGGCTACCGAAATTAGGGTTACTATTGCTTGATTTATTGTTATGTGTATCGGATGGCATCGATAATTGTGCATAATTACTATCGGCAAATTTGTTGCAAATTTCCTAGAAATATTCAATCGAATAGATAAAATATTTATAAAAATTAAATATATATATAAATAAAAAATAATATTATTAACAATTTAATAATAAATTTATTTACATTTGCTTTCATTTTGGATTGTTTTTCCTCACCCGGTATAACAGCTAACTGTTTGATATAAAAATCAGCCGGATTATAGTTATTTGGACAGTTAAGTCCCAATTTGGAAAAGTAATCAAGCGCAGTTTCTAAATAAAATAATAATAATAAATAAAATATTAAAAATACTTTAATAATTTGTTTTTATTTATTATAAAAATATACAGTATATATAAAATATAACTATAAATACTATAATATATATCATATTTACCTGCTTTTCCCAAATAGGCTACCCGTCCGTCAGCCATAAGTAGTAACTGATTGAACAGTGCAAACGCCTCGGATGACGGCTGATGTATTGTACATATAATTGTCTTACCATTGGCAGCCATATTGCGTAATACTTCGACAACATTTAGTGTCATAAACGAGTCCAATCCGGAGGTCGGTTCGTCGCAAAACATAATCGACGGATCAGTTAATAGCTGTTTATATCAAAGTATTAAAATTAAATTTTAAATTAATAATAATTAATAAATTTAAAAAAAAGTAACAAACAATTAATTGCAAAATTTTTTGTTGTTGAATAATACTAACCTCCGATGCAAATGCCAATCGTTTTTTCTCACCACCGGATATACCCTTTTTGGTTTCAGGGGTACCAATAGTTGCATCAATACATTTTATAAGCCCTAACTGTATATTCAATAAAATTTTCAATATTAAGATATTAGTTTACAAAAATATTTAATATATTTTTATAATAAATACCTCTAATGCCACTTTCTGGACCTTATCTTCCCGATCGGTGGCCGATAACAGTGGATCCATTCGGAGCCGGGCCTGAAATTTTAGGTGTTCCCTAACGGTCAGTGTTCCAATAAACAGATCCTCTTGTTGTACATAAGCCGACACTTGTTTAATGGTATTCATATCGATCGCTTTGCCATTCAATTTAACCGAACCGTCAATCTTAACACTGGATATGTTTCGTTGGGTCAACACATTCATCAGTGTTGTCTTACCCGCACCGCTCGATCCCATTATGGCCATCAAGTGTCCCGGTTTTGCCTGACCACTTACTATAATTTATAATAAAATATGTATAATTTTAAAATAATTTTATATTTAATTTATAGTAATTTAAATATAATAAATAACAACTTGAAAAGCATACCATTTTTGAGTATATGAACCGCTTCTTTGTTGTTTTTCTTGAGAAACGGTATGACTGTACCCTCGCCTTTACTGAACACATCTATATTATGCCATGACAGTGAAGCACCGGTAGCATTAAGATATTCGGTATTCAATTTGTTATTGTTGTTGTTATCATATGGATTCATATCAATATTCAAATGATAACTATTTGTGTCATAAACTTTATTTGTCGCCGGAGTGGTAGGCAATGATCGCTGAGGTATACCATTATTATTATTATTAGCACTGGTTACACGGTATATACCTTGATCCAGATCCATTACTTACTGTCCAATTATTGAAGTTATGTTAGATATCGCTTTATTATTTTGAAAGCTATAAATTATTTTTAAAAAATTAATTAATAAATACAAGTAAATAAATAAATATAAATATTATCACTAATACAATTGTGAGTATAATTTATAACTTTTAAATATTATTTAAAACATTAAAATATAATTGTTTTGCTGAGTTGAATTTTTTTTAAAAATAAACATTAAATTGAAAGATTGTATATAATTATAATAATAGTAATGATATAGTATTACAATTAACTAATATTATTTAGACAATGCAAATAATACTGTATAATTAATATTAATAGATTTATACAACGTTTCAATTAATTGTTAATTTTTAAAAAAAAATTCTAACTTATATTAAAACAAAATATATTTAAATTTATAATTAAATTATAATTTAAAATATAATTATATAATTAAATAATTAGTTAGAAATTTCAATAATAATAACTAAAAGTTTATCATAATAAAACTGTTAGTTAATAGCAATTATATGAGCGCTGGTTATGGGCTACTGTCCACTTAATTACCTGAGTTTTATTTAGCGAATCAACAAATATAAAAAAAATTATTTTCTATATTTACAAAATTACTATTAACTTAATAATTATTATATTAAAGTTTTTTTACAATTTTTTTCACAAACTATTTTTTTGGTATGAACTAGTTTCTTTATATATAAAAAATATTATTAATATTTATCATACAATATGAACTAATTTGTACTAAACAATAGGTGAAAATAATGTACTGTACAGTACATGAAATAAAATATTGATTTCGTATAACGTATAAGTAGTACATTATGTTTGTAAATATTTATATTCTAGGTATTGTAGTTGTTATATATATATATTGTAAATATCTTAGAGTATATATATATAGTTAATTTTATATATAAATTACTTTATACACTTAACTGATGAAAGTTGTGTATTAAAAATAAATAAATATAGAATATATATCGATATATTCCTAAAATTAACAGATATTTTAAGTACCCGTAAGCTGTATAATATATATTTATATGATTAAATTCTAAAGTAACCATGGTATTGTTTTGTTATTAGACATGTGTGTCTTTATTTATAATGTTATAAATATTACATATATTTTATTTATCATGTAATCATATTGATTGTATGAAACAAAATGCAAAATGTACTAAACTATTGACAATAGTATAACTAAAATTAACAAGTAAAATGTCAAAATGTACTAATCTAAGCTAGTACATTTTTATTATATCTTTATCGGAAATTACATATTTAGTAATAGGAAAAATTTGCAATAAAAACAAAATTATAAAATTAACAAGATTATCTTTATAAAATTAATTGTCTTTAAAAAAAATAAAAATATTATAAATAAAAATATTTTTTTGTGATTATTGATTAATATATTGAAAAAATAGGTTATCATTAATATATAATTATATTATTTATTAATAGAAATAATTATCTAATATTTTTTTCCTGATGTGCTATAAATTATAAAGTATTTTAATTGTTATGATAAAATACAAAGTTCAAAAATATAACAATGTTTATTTTTTAAATTGTAAATTAACTAAAAAAAAGTTAACTATTACTTTGTTATTACTACAGAATGTTATATTTTTTAATTTATTAGTGCATTGCTGTATCTTAAAAAATGTTATCTTTTATTATAAGATATCATTTAATTATTGTCATATTAGATATAGATAGACTTATTAAATCAAATGTACTAAATATAATATTAATATTTTACTATAATGTTAGGAAAATCACTGAATTAAATATATATATATATATATATATATAGATAAATACATACCGTATCAAATAAATAATATTTTGTAACATTTCAATATAATAAAATGTTGTTAATTAAAAAAATTACAAATGATATAATTTTTACACTATATTACATTATATGGTATTTAATTGAACTAATTAAAATATTGTTTTTAATTTATAAGAAAATATATTTTAAATTATTATGAAATTATTATGAAATTATTATCAATTATAATATATATATATATATTATACGTATATATATATATATATATGATGTAGTATATATCAATATAGTATTATTTTTTTATTAAAAAGTGTATATAATAGTAAATACAAGGAATTAATAAAGAATAATTTATTAAAATTAAATAACAACATTAATTATTTTATAAAACATTAATAAATTAAATATAGCTTAATTTATTTAAGTATTTTTTATAAATATTAACATTAATTGTATTTATCATTTTAAATAACTAAATAAAATGTTTTACAAAATAAAATTTAAATAATTATTTTCAACTAGCAAGTTTGTTAATGATTTAAAAAATAATTATTTATATTATTACACGTCAAAGTATATTTATAATTATGTACAAAATGATACTCTATTCAAATCTAAATAACAAAAAACTTATAAAATTACATTTAAATTATCACAATATAAATAATCTTGTTTTAAATAATAATAATTCAATGTTTATTACGTGATTTAATACATAGTATAACATAAGCGACAAATCTGAAACCAACTATCAGTGCCAACAATAGACATATATCTCGTGAAAAGTAGTCTTCATTGAAGTTTAAGGATCGGATAACTGCCCGTCCATTTGGCACACATGGAGGAGTGCCAGTGTTATCCTGTAAACTATAGGCTACTGTCGATGATATTAGTGTTTTGTTTGTATTGCTGTGGGGACAGTCAATTTTGTCGATATGTTGCCACTGGTTGACTATGAGTGCTTCGTTACCATAGTAGAACCAGGACAGATATTTGATCCAGTTCAACCAAACGGGTATAGTACTATTTTTTTAGGGGGAGGGGGAGGAGAGTAAAAATTAATTTTTTGATGTTCAATTAATATATAAACTAGCTAGCTAATAATATATAATTTTGACACACATACTCGTTATTGAGAAAAAATCCGCCAAATAACATAAACGGTAGATTAAGCACCGGTGATATAGCCAGTGCCATATTGATGTTTTTGCTCAGGCATGATACAAAATAACCTTCAAGGTAAATAAATAAATAAAAATAAAAAATATTTGATTATAATTTTTTTAAAAATATTATTAAATATTTATAGCAAAAATAATTTTTCCTACCGAAGCCACAGGCACTGTTGGCCACCATAACACATATCAGTGCACACCAGCAAAATTGTTCAAAATTATTGTTCAAATTAGCCATATAATAGAAAATGGCCACAAAAAGCACCGGTATCAGTATAAATGTTGGAAACTATAATATATATATAGAATATAAATAGATTATATAAATAAAAATATTAAAATAATAATGATAATAATAAAGTATACAGCTAATTAAATATATGTATATATGGTATATTTGAAATAATAATAAAAACTAATTATTTTATTTAATTAGTTTAATAATAACAAAAATCTACCTCGGCAATTGTTTTGGACAAAAAATAAGCGCTGACCCGATACATGCCATTGCTATGGTCACGATGATAAATAGGTAACTCAGCACAAAATGTCTAAATTTGTTAAACAAAATTAAAATATTTTTTTTAAAGTTATAAATAATTATTGTATTTAATAAAATTTGTATTTTTTATAAAATAAATTGTATTCATACATTGACAACACCGAAAACACTTGAAAAATTCATATTTGTAACCAACAAAAATAGGGCACCATTTATATTCATTATACCAGTTTGATTGACCTCCAGTTGCCAATAGATTAGGCCAAACACAATAGAGATTACCTGTTTGTTTGATTATTAGTATTATTTGTTAAGTATTAAGATATTTTAAAAATTAACATTTAAACAAAACAAAAATAATTGATCATAAATTGAGACATACAATAGTTTGTATAATACGGATTTTTGTTAGCATAGGCTCACGCATTGTCGATAGGGTAGACCTGCATAACAGTACCCAAAACTGTACGAACCAATTGGTTTTGTAGACCGAACCTCTTTCCTGTTTGGTTAGCCGATCAAAATCATCGCCATTGGTGTCGACAGTTTGTTTAGGTAGTGCCTCACTAGCGTAAGTACTGTTGGCAAATTGATCGCATATACTCTAGAATTTTATAAATTAATAAATAATTTTAAATATAAATAATTTGATTTTAGTTAATATTTCAGATTATTAATTACATGAATTTTTTGTTTAGACTGTTGTTCACTATTTGGCAATACAGCCAACTGTTTGATATAAAAATCAGATGGATTATAGTTTGCGGGACAGTTGAGTGCCAGACCAGAGAAAAAGTCTAGTGCTCTATCTGTTTGATTAAGCGAATAGTAAATTAAAATTATATGTCATATTTGTTAGTAACAGTGCACTAACCGGCTTCCCCTAAATAGGCTACCCTTCCATCGGCCATAAGTAATAGATGACTGAATATGGCAAACACTTCCGACGACGGCTGATGTATTGTACAGATGACTGTCCGACCCGACTGTGCCATATCGTGCAATACTTCGACAACGTTGAGCGCCATAAACGAGTCCAACCCAGAGGTCGGTTCATCGCAAAACATGATCGACGGATTCATTAATAACTATTTTTTAAAAAATAGAAATCAAATTGTAATTAATATTTATAATTTATTTTTAAAATAATTATTATTAGATATTAAATAAATTGAATACTAAGCAAACCTCCGAAGCAAAAGCCAACCGTTTTCTTTCGCCTCCAGAAATGCCTTTTTCAGTTTCCGGCGAACCAATCAAAGTGTTGGCACATTTTGTCAAACCTAACTGTTTTTTTTGTTATGTTTTAATTAATATGATTTGAATGTTAAAAATAACATTGTTTTGAAACTATATAAAAAAAAAATTCAGTGATAATTACATCTAATAAGACTTGTTTGACACGACTGTTGCGAAACTCTTTGCCAACCGACGCATCCATCCGGAGTCTGGCCTGAAACGACAGGTTCTCTTTGACGGTAAGTGTACCGATAAACAGGTCGTCCTGTTGTACGTAAGCTGACAGCGCTTTAATACTATTCATATCCGACAATTTGCCATTCAATTTGACGGCACCTTTTACTTTGACAGTTCCCAGGTTTCGTTGTGTCAACACATTCATCAGTGTTGTCTTACCCGCACCGCTAATTATAGAGTAATAACAATTAATAAAAATATATAAAAAATAAATCAAATTAAAAAACACCCATACCTGGCACCCATTATTGCAAGCAATTGACCACCAGTTGCCTGTCCACTAACTAATTGACAATAGCGTATAAAATAAGTTATTTAGAAAATAAATAATTATCTAATTTTTTTTATATTCCTAATTTTTAATTACCATTTTTAAGTATATGAACCGCTGGTTTGGATTTTCTTTTCAATAATCGCGGCAACAGTCCGGCCGATGATTTGCTTAAGACATTGATGTTGTGCCACGAAATGGTTACCGGATCTGTTACCTGACTTATTACACGTTTGACTATAAATTTATTATTATCAACATTATTGAAGTTATTATTATCAGTAGTAGTATTAGTATTGTAATAGTTGTCCACAGATTTGGATTTTTCAGTATAATATGTCGTTTGGCTGTTAGATAACGAACCGTTGACTGACATATTGATGACTCGTTGATCTGAATTTTGGCTCATTTTTGTAAATAATAATTAATATATAATATCAAAAAAATAAATTTTAAAATAAAAATTATTTCAAAATTAGCTGAATATATTAAAGTTTTTTATTTTAGAAATATTGGCATTAATTAAAAAAATACTGTAATATATTAAAGTTATATTTTATTGATTATATTTTTGAAAAAATTGTCATAAAGATTACACTTTTTTATATAAGCATTGTATTAATAGTTTGTAAACAAGTTATTGTATCTTATATTAAAAATTATAATTTAATTTATTGTAAATCAATGGTCGACTTATATACCCTATTATTAATTTGATTATAACATTACATTTACACACACTTAATTTACACTCACACAATACATTGTTGAGGTCATAACTATAGATATGAACTTAATATTCATAAATAACTATAATATCTAATTGTTTTATTAATTTGCTTTATTAACACTATTATGTTTTACACTAAATTTATCAGTATAATATAATATTATATAATTTTGATTTACACATTAGTATACTGTACTTGAATTGACAAATACGTTAGTATCCAATAGTTTTGACATTTTATCTCAAAAGCATCCCTTATCAATATGCACTTACAAGTGTCATATTTGCTAATTAAATGATTTAGGTTTCGGTCAAATAAAATTTTTATTGTGTTTATTATTATTTATTTTTTTTTTAAATATAAAATCCCGAAAACCTAAACAATAAGCTGACAATCATTTCCTACTATTATGTATATGATAAACAATTAATCAATAAATTTCAATAATATGATAAATATTACTAATAATATACAAAACTAATCATGCAATTAATGTTAAATATATTGCAATAAGTTGTCGTTAACCTATTAAAGTGTATTTAAAAAGTTTACTCTTAAATAAAAACTAATTAATTTTTTAATTAAAAATGACTTACAATTAATTATGTAATTTTTGATGTAATTTATATTTAGACACATTATTATGTTATATATTGATTATTTTATATGTAATACTAAATTAATTTGAGATTATTATTAATAATTTTTTTAAAAACAAAATTTCTCAAGTATTTTACTAAAACAAATGATAATAATTTTATTTTAACAAAATATAATATAATTGAAATAAAAATTCAATTTAATTATCTACTGCTAACATTTAGTCGGGCTTTAATAAGTAATACAAAATATGCTAAAAATCTAAATAAAATACAAAGCATTAGCAATAGCCAAATGTTTCGAGAAAAATGATTTTCATTGAAACTCATAAATCGGATGATTGCCCGTCCATTTGGAACACAAGGAAAGCCGTTTTGTATATTTTCAATCAATTTAGTCAAATCGCAATCAATTTTATCAACAGTCGACCACTTGTTTATTGCTAGTGCTTCGTTGCCATAATAAAACAACGATATATATTTGATCCAGGAAAAATATCTATGTATAGTACTATTGTTTTTGTATAAAAATTTAAAAAATATATATATTTAATTAATTATATAATCAAAAAAAATAATTATTATTATTTGAAATTCTATAATGTATTTTAAGTAAATCAACAAAAAAAACAAAAAATTAAAAATATTACTTTGTGTTAACTAGGAAACCGGAAAACACTAGTAGTGTCATATCAAATAAAGGTGTTATAACCATTACAATGTTTATATTGGTGCTCATCGATGAAATAAAATAACCTAGGATATAATTAGAATTATTTTCTAATAGTTAAATGATGCGGATGATAAAAATAATTATTAAATAGAAATCATAAAAATATTTTTAGTGATTTTTTATATGACAAAAGTATAATATATATATATTTGTTAAATTATATAATCTAGTAGATACCGAATCCAGTGGCACAGTTAGATATGAGTACACATATCAATGTTGTCCATAAAAAGCTTTGAAAATCGACATCAAATTTGGTTAAATAAGAAAATATTGTCAAAACTAATATTGGTATAAATGTTATTATTGGTGTCTATGTTAATGCAATAAAAATATATATTGAAAAAAAACATTATTTAAAAAAAATCACAATGATAATATAAAAATTGATTTGTATAATTAATACACAAATTATTATTATTTTATACACAAACCTCGGCAACCATTTTTGATAAAAAATATGCACTAATACTGTACATACGGTTACTATAGTCGCGATACATTACGAGTAGTTCATTAGAAAATGTCTTCAAAATTGCAATTAATTTATTTAAAAAAATAATATTTATTAAGTTAGTTATCTTAGTTTTTCATTTTGTTTAATTTTAGTAACAGTACTTACATTTAAAACACCAAATATTGATAGAAAGTTTGTTATGCCCACCAAAACAAATATCGATCCATTAATATTCATAATGTTTGTCTGGTTTGGCTCCAGGTTTCCATAGATTAGGGCCATTAATATTGAAGCAAACTTAATAAACAAAAATGAAATTTATTTTTACAATTTTTAAAAATATGTAAATTATTATAAATAATTAGTAGTAAGTGTTATGTATTACAAGTGCAAACATTATACGAATCATAGTAATCCTGGGCTCCCGGATCACTGTTATTATGGACACCCATAACAATGTAGTAAACTGTGTCCACCAATTGGTTTTGTATGTAATGGGTTTGTTTCGATAGATTAGATCTGTGTTGTTGTTGTCGCTATTATTTTTCACGCCTATACTAACCAAATCATTTGCATATAATTTTTCGGCAATACTGGCACTAATGTCCTGAAAAAATTCAATCATATATTATATTTAATACATAGTAATTGAAATAAAAAAAAACAATTATTTTTTCAAATTTTACCTGCATATTGCTAATAGATTGATCAGATAGTAAAGCCAATTGTTTGATATAAAAATCTGCGGGATTATAGTTTATGGGACATTTGTAGCTCAAATTGGCAAAAAAGTCTAATGCTTTTTCTGATAGATATTAAAAAAAGTATACAAACAAACAAAAAATAACAAATAAAATTTCTTTTAAAAAAAACATTAAAATTAATAAAAAATTATTATATACCGGTACAATAAATCATATTTATAAAAAATACTAATAATACGGTAATACAATTTTATGTGTGTTTAAGATATTAAACAAAATACGGTACCTGCTGTCCCATAATAAGCTACCCTTCCATCGGCCATAAGTAGTAGATGACTGAATATGGCAAACACTTCCGACGATGGCTGATGTATTGTACAGATGACTGTCCGACCTGACTGTGCCATATCGCGTAGCACTTCGACAACACTGAACGCAGTAAACGAGTCCAATCCGGAGGTCGGTTCGTCACAAAACATGATCGACGGATCAGTTAATAACTGATATAATAAGATTTTTTTTTAAATAGTATTTTAATTTTATATTAATAACATTAATAACAATTACCTCTGAAGCAAATGCTAAGCGCTTTTTCTCGCCGCCGGAAATGCTGTTTCCAGTTAATGGATATTCAATGATAGTATTGACACATTTGGTCAAACCTAACTGTGCAAATAAATTATAGCATATATTGTATTAATATAATTATTTTTTATTTTATATAACTCACAGCTGCTATAATCTGTTTGACCCGACTTTCCCTTAACTTGTTGGACATCGACCGATCCATACGTAGTTTTGAATGAAATGTCAAATACTCTTTGACGGTAAGCGTACCAATAAAACGATAGTCCTGTTGAACGTATGCTGTCATCGATCTAACTGTGCTCATAGACATTGTTTGTCCATTCAATTTGACACAACCATTGACAGTATAATTGTCCAGGCCACGTTGAGCTAATATGTTTAGCAATGTTGTTTTACCAGCACCACTTGAGATGGTTTTTTATATATATAAAAAATTGATAATTAATATTATTAATTTTAATTTTAAATAAATCTATTTTTTTTGTAAAAATTACTAATATAAAATATTCAAATTATTAAGTTAGTACATTTAAAAAAAAATAAATAACTATTACCTAGCACCCATAATTGCAAGCATATGTCCACTAGTAGCATGACCAAATGCTAGAATAAATAAAATATAAAAGTATATATATAAAATAGCATAAATAATTACTCAATAATTATATAATTGATTATAATTTATTAATTAATTATATAATTTATAATATAATTTTTTGATATCAATTACTATTTAAATAAAAAGTTTATACCATTTTTGATAATATGAGGTACAACACGATTTCTAGATCTCATAGTCAAACCTGGAACCGATAGTCTGGACAATGTCTTGCCATAGACATGGATGTTATGCCACGATATGGTTGTCATCGACGAAACACGATTAAAGCCATTACCGTAATTGTTGTCGTATTTCGACATATAATTATAGTTTTGTAAATTATAGCCATTTAGACCATATTGTTGTTGTTGTTGTTGTAGTTGTCCATTATCACCTTGGCCATTTTCAAATGGCATATTAACAATAGTAGCATTTTGAGATTGTATCATTGTTTCAATAGAAATAAATTTTTAAAACTAATCAATAACAATTTATGAATAATTCAATAGTAAATTATTGAATAATTAATTAATTGATTATAATATCTAAATAAATAATATGAAAATTAGTATTGTTTAAATATAATAAATGTTTGATGATATGTAATATTTAATATATGATATTAGTATTCAAAATACAAATCTTAATGTTAAATACAATTTCAAACTTATTTATGATTCATATTTTAGAAATCATTGTAAAGTGCAATGTAATGATTTAAAATTAAATTATCATTTTAGTAAATTTCTATTGATTTCTATTTGTAATTTCATATATTACCAATAAATTTTGAAATCATTATATTTTTAAAAAATTGTTTTAATTAAAATACAACAATAAATTATAAAAATTACACATATAAATACACATTCACATTAAAGTAAACTGAATATAATTGACAATATAAATTATTAAAATCATTTACAAAAAAATTAGTATATTTAATATTAATTTTGTTGTTTAATTCATTTAATTAATTCATTTACTATTGTTTTATAATAAGTAAACAAATGCTAATAGATTTAAAATCAATACTTTTTATAATATTATAGAAATTTTTATTACAGAGTTTTTATTACAAGTAAGCAATAAATTGTTAGGCAATAGTTAATGCTAATAATAGCCATAATTTTAAAATCAACATTTTATATGAGGCTGTAATTACCCCCTAGTGAGGAAATATTTGAATTTGTGGGGGGAAGGGGTAGGAAACGATTGGGAAATGGTTGAATGTAATGTTAATTATAATCATTGAAAAACTTCAATTATGGGATATTTTATAATCAAACATTTGATAAGCTGTAACTCAGATATTTCAACATAGTTTTACATATAGCCCCCCGATGAACAAAGAGGGGCTAATGACGCTTACATACGGTAATTATGGCCTTAAATTTTGCTTTCAATTCAACAATCAACCCATCGTCGAGCGATTTATATAATAATAGCAAATAAGTCATAACTCGGAGACAAACGGTCAGTGCAAACATTATACCGATGTTTCGCCAAAAGTGGTCAACACTGAAGTCCATCGATTGGATCACTTGGTCTCCCGACAGGAGTCGGGAACACTCGCACAACTGGTCACTGTAATCAATATTGTCGACGCCATCCCATTGGTTTATAACCAGTGATTCGTATCCATAATAAAACCATGAAATATATTTTATCCAAATTAGATACGATGGAATTGACCTAGATTAATTATTTATATTTAAAAAAATAAATAAAAAATATTATAAATGGAATAATTTGCTTGAATATATTAGTTTTTGATAGAAATTAAGTTAGTTAAAACATTATTATATATTATCAAAAAAATAATATAGTTTATTACATATGATATATAAAAATGTGAATATCAATCGAAAAATTAATAATAATTAAAAATAACTTATACTCGATATTATTGAATAGACCACCAAAAGTCAGTAGTGGTATAAGTAATGGTGTCGATAGCATCAGTGCTGAACTTATGTTGTAAGTTAACAGTGCCATTAGATATCCTGAAGTATAATGTAAAGACATTGACATTAATTAATTATCCCTAAATAGATGTTTTTTTAAAAAAAATAATTAAATAAAAACCGAAACTGCTGGCAACATTGGCTATCAAAATGCATATACAGATACATATCAGTAAACGATAGATATTGTTGTTTAGGCCGACCATAAAGTAAATGGTCAGCACAAAAATCGATGGTATTATCACATAAATAGGCAACTATTATGTATAAATAATGCACATTATTTTATTAGTTTAAATTTTTCAACAAAAAAAACAATAATGTTTACTACTATACCTCTGCCAACATTTTGGTTAGAAAATATGGACTAACCCGATATACATTATTACTGTGTTCCCTATGAAATATGGGCACCTCCTTACAAAATGTCTAATTAGGTTTATCAGTAATTATAATAATAATAATAAATATTAGATTATATTAATGATTGATAACAAATGATAAATTTTAGTGATAATACAAACATTTACTGAACCAAACAAACTTTGTAAACTTAAATACATCAATAGCATCCATAGGGCGCCATTAATATTGGGGATACCCTTTTGGTTTAGATCTAATTGAAAATAGATAAGTCCCATCAATATAGCTATAATCTAACGAAAATCAATTTAAAAAAAAATATATTGTATTATAGTATAAATTGTTTTTGATGAGTGATTTTGTTTTTAAAAACATACAATTGTTATAAATGTCATCAAAATTAAGAATATGGAAACATATGGAAACTCGGGATCACGATATGTCGTACGAAACGATCGGCAAAATAGTACCCGAAACTGTGTGCACCAACCGCTCCGATAGACGCGACCATTATTATGATTTACCGGTAAGCACTGGGTTGAGGTGCTGGCAGTATTGGTTTTACTAGTATTCGGCTCATACTGTTTCTCATCACATTTTTGACGATAACCATCGCATATAAGCTAAATAATAAATTACAAAATGATATACAAATGATTTAATTATTTTTCAAAAATTACATTTATGCGTCCAATAGATTCATCTTTTTTGTTGGGATCTACAGACAATTGTTTGATATAAAAATCGCTGGGATTGTAGTTATTAGGACTGCTGTATCCAAAAGTCGAGAAAAACTCCTTTGCCTCACCTAATAGTAAAACAATATTTTAATTTTAAATTTAATTATTAATAATACTGTTTATCAATATACTGTATTACCGGCTTCCCCTAAATAGGCTACCCTTTTATCGGCCATAAGTAACAAATGACTGAATAAGGCGAACACTTCAGACGATGGCTGATGTATCGTACAGATGACTGTCCGATCTGATTCAGCCATATTGCGGAGCACTTGGACAACATTGAGCGCCATAAACGAGTCCAATCCGGAGGTCGGTTCATCACAAAACATGATCGCCGGATCAGTTAATAACTACAAAATTAACATTTTTTTATTATTATAATAACTAACCACTTAAATAAAACTTTATAAAATAAATATAAATATTTTATATATATATATATATACTTCTGATGCAAACGATAGGCGCTTCCTCTGTCCTCCTGAAATACCTTTACCCGGGTCATCAATATAAGCGTTGGCACAACCTGTTAGACCTAACTATTATCCGTAATTAGGATTATATAAAAAAATAAATAAATATACATTATATTACTCATACATCTAATAATATTTTGTCGACTCTGGCTTTACGTTCCTTTCTGTTTAATGATGGATCCATCCGTAGTTTCGACTGAAACAACAGGTGCTCTCTGACTGTCAGTGTACTAATAAAAAGGTCGTCCTGTTGTACATAAGCCGATACGGCACGTATGGCGTCCTTGTCGACTGGTTGTCCATTCAATTTGACGGTGCCTTCTAGATTTAAATGCGATATGTTTCGCTGAGCCAATACGTTCATTAAAGTGGTCTTACCGGCGCCACTGTTGAAGAGGACAAGTATGATATGGTTTGTCATAATTTATTAAAGAAAAATATTAGTATTTAAATATACTATAATAGTAGCATAAAATCATTTTTATATTTATTATATGCTATAATTAATTAATAAATGTTACTTATATACAATATATTTCACTATTGAATATTCAACTGAGAAAGTATATAATTAAACAGTTATAATTGTATCAAATTAACCTTGATGCCATAATAGCCAATAATTTTCCACTTTCTGCTTCACCGGATACTTTTAAAAAAATTATATCATATTTTAAGCAAAATATATTATCATTATTTAATTTGATTTAAAAATAATTATAAATAATACCATCATTAAGTATTTCTTCACTTTGTTTGCTAAACCGTTTCAAATGTTTGACAAACGATGTTTGCTTTGTTGTTACCGTAATATTATGCCACGATATGGATCTCCGAGAAGTTGTTTCGTCTATTTTTTGTATACTACCGTATTTTTGACTACTGGTCGATGGTTTTTGGACACATACTAGAGGTACTCTATCACTGTTTTCCATTGTTTTTTTTTTGTTGGTACGTAATAATAATTATTAGATATTATAATACGATTCAATATCACATTTACAGTACTATAATATTTAAATTGTATAATATTAAAATATAATTTTTTTTAAAAACTTTATTACACTATAGTATAGCAATACACTTGTATTAATAATTTATTATAATATTGCACTATCTTATAGTCATTGAGAGACCAATAGTGGTTCAGATAATGGGATAATGACAGCCGAGTTTTGAGTGTTAAATATGTTTATATAATTTTTTAAATAGTTTTAATATTTGACAAAACTATATAACAATTGTATGATATTTAATAAAATAATGAATGCAAACAATTTCTGTGGGCATAGTCAATGATAATTTTGTCATTTTATTTGATATACAATATCCATACAATTAATCATTAAAAAAATAATATTCAATATTAAATATAAATGCAAATTATATAAACATATTTCCAAACATCTCGTGTGTCATTATATCATCGTCCGTATCACTCGTATCATATGATTGCAGCCACTATTGGTCTCAATGACTATAAGACAGTGAATTAGTTTATTATATATTATAAGTGTTTTCCTATAAAAGTAAAGTTTTTACTTAAATTAATTACTCTTTTATAGCTAAATAATAAATAAATATTAATAACAGCGAGTTATACACTGTGTTTAAATACTGGTACAACAAACTACAGAAATGATAACTTATTGATTCAAATACAAATATATATGATTATTATTATTATTATTATATAGTATTATAGAAAATTATCATATATACAAATATACTACTGTATAAGTAATTTATGAGTATTATATTTAAAAAAGCAATATATATAGTATATATAAACAGGATATAAATATTACAGTTTTTAAAAAAGTGGATTTAAGTTACCAGTTATAAAAAGACATTGTATTATATTATTATGCACTTTGTAGTTGTTTTCACACATATTAAATAATTTAAGTAAAAAACTTACTTTAAATTGAAAACACTTAATATCACAAAAACTAGTGAATTGGTGTACGATATCGATATGGTTTCGGTGGCTAACAGCACACCATCATCAGCACTAATGCACTGTCTTATAGTCATTGAGACCAACAGTGCTGTAAGCAATACGAGAGGTTCGGACGGGGAGTGACACCGGAGATGTGTGGAAATTGTTTATATAATTTGTATTTTTTAATATTGAAATTTTATAATTTAAACAATTATAACATAAATAAAATTAAATTAGCAGTAATAACTATACCCACAGAATTTTATTTATGTTATTTACTTAAGTTTTTAAGTAAGTTTTTTACTTAAATTATTACATTGTATTATAATTTATATAATTTGTAACCTAACCTAAAAATATAACATTTACAGCCATAAAATTGTTGTATGTGTTTTATAAATTATGTACATTATATCTAATGTTTATATTATTAGTTGTTACTAAATTTCTAGTGACTTTTGTTTGTTATATTTAGCCATATAAATTTATATATTACCAATAAATTTTGAAATAATATTATGTTTTTAAAAAATTGTATTTTTTATTCAATTAAAATATATACAGTATGTAATGTGATGTACAGTATATTATACATCACATTACATACACATTTATTATATTAAACAGTATAATCACTTCAAATAAGTATATTTAATAATAATTTATTTGATTTATTATTTGTTTTTTTTAAATAATTGAAAATCAAACTGTGCTAACAGATTTATAATTAACACTATTTATAATATCATAGAAATTAAATTGAGTTTTTAATACAAGTATAATGTATGCCATAAATTGGTAGCCAATAGTTAATGCTAATAATAGCCATAAGTCTAGTGCAAAATGAGTTTTATCGTAATTGAAAAATCCTAAAACTGTTTGACCATTGGGTACACAAGGAAAACCGTTTTGTAGGCTTTCCACTAAATTGCAATCTATATTATTAACATTATGCCACTGATTCAACATAAAAGCTTCTTGGCTATAGTAAAACAATGAAAAATATTTGATCCAGGCCAAATAGGGATGTACAGTGCTATAATTTTTTGGATTTTATATTTTATTATAATACAGTAATAATAATACTCAACAAAATAAACTTATTTATAATTTACCGGATATTAATTAAAAATCCCGAAAATAACAATAACGACATTTGCAATACTGGTGTTAATATTAGAGCCATACGTATATTAAAACTTAAACACGATATCAAATAACCTAAGTTTTTGAATATAGCAACAAAATTATTGGTGTATTATTGAATATAAATAAAAAAATAATAAATAAAAATTGATAAAATTACCAAAACTGCTTGCACTGGTAGCTATTAGTACACATATTAGTACACACCAAAAATAGTCTACAAAATTTACCATCAAATTTGTTAAATACGAAAATATTAACAAATAAATAATTGGTACCAATAAAGTCATTGGTAACTAAAGTATAATATAATGTGAAATATAAATAATAATAATACTAACTTTTTATAGTAAAAATTATATAGTTTACCTGGGCTAAAATTTTAGACAAATAATAGGCGCTTACACTGTACATACCGTTTCCATGATCCCGATAAAATATTGGCAATTCATTGCAAAATGTCTATATAATAACGAGAAAATAATATTATATTATTAAATTTATTACTAAAATGTATAGTACATACATGCATTACACCAAAAACGCTCAGGTAGTTCACCAAATCGATGATCATAAATATGGCACCGTTAATGTTTTGCATGTTTTTATTACTAACCTCAAGATTTCCAAATACTAGACCTAAAAATGATGCCGTAATCTGAGTTTTTTTTATAAATAAAATATATTGTATTTAATAGTTGTTAATAAATATATTGTATATATTACTGCAGTCAATACTATACGGAGCACTGTTATCCTGGGCTCTCGTATGGCTGTTAATAATGATATCCATAAAAGTGTATTGAATTGTGTCCACCAATTGGTTTTATATGTGTAACTATAAGTTAATTTTTTCCGATTATAATTATTATTGCTATCAATGACAATGAATTCATCAAATTGATTATAATGTAAATTATTTTGTTGTTGTTGTTGTTTGTTATACATCTAAATATATTTTTTTTTAAATATTAAGTTAAAAAATATTATTATAATTATTTTCTTTATTATTTTACCTGGATATAATTTATTGATTGTCCAGTTTGTAAGATAGATAATTGTTTAATATAAAAATCAGCAGGATTATAATTTTTAGGACATATGTAGCCAAACTTAGAAAAATAGTTTAAAGCTTTATCTAAAAATAATAAAAATATGTTTTAATTCAAATAAGAAAGTATTCTGATGTTTGAATTAATTTTTTTAAAAAATATTTATTTTTACCTTTCGGTCCAAAATAAGCTAACTCTCCATTCATTAACAATAGTAAATGACTGAACAGTCCAAACACTTCAGATGACGGCTGATGTACTGTACAGATGACTGTCCGACCCGACTGTGCCATATCACGGAGCACTTGAACAACATTGAGCGCCATAAACGAGTCCAATCCGGTGGTCGGTTCGTCACAAAACATAATCGACGGATCACTTAATAACTATTAAAAAAAAATTCAGTGAAATAAAAACAATTTACAAATTTACAAAAAAAAAACATTGAATTATATACTGTATTATAATTACTTCCAAAGCAAATGCTAATCGTTTTCTTTCGCCACCAGAAATGCATTGCTGACCAGTAAATGGCGATTCAATCATTGTGTTGGCACATACATCCAGATCCAACTATTAGCACAAATAATATTACTTAACAATTACAGTATATATACAGTATATATTAAAATAAAATTATTAATTGCCTACAGCTGTCATAATTTGTTTGACACGACTATCTCTGGCCAGTGCCGACATTGACCCATTCATACGTAATTGTGAATGAAATGCCAAATGTTCGGCAACGGTCAGTGTTCCGATAAATTGATAGTCCTGTTCAACATAAGCCGATATCGATCTAATTTGATTAATATTTGCCAGATTATTGTCTAACATAACTGTCCCCTGGACAGTATAATTATGTAAATATCTATGTGCTAATACATTTAATAAAGTTGTTTTGCCTGAACCACTAATAAAACAAATTATTTGTTGTTATTATCAAAATTTATCATGTACAATTTTTTGTTTGTAATGACTTATTACCTGGCACCCATAATAGCCAACATGTGTCCACTGTTTGCATAACCCGAAACTAATTACAAAAAAAAATGATTATTATTATTTTTTATGTAATATTTGTAAACTAATTTATTAATACAAATTTAAAACTATATATAATTACCATTATTCAGTATACGAATCGGGTGTTTATTATATTTTTTCAAATAGGGAACAGGTATTACTTCTAATGGTTTACTATAAACATCAATGTTATGCCACGATATTAACGACATTGTTTTATAATGCACTGTACTCTACAGTAAAAAATAATACTTTAAATATAAATATATTTTATGTAAATATCTTTATTATAATATATTTTATACCATATTAAACAAAAATATTTGTGTCAATAAATTCCATAAAAATATGCAAGTAATTAAAAACAATTTTTTTTTGAAAAAAAATTTAAATAAAAACAATAATTTTTTTTGTATTAAAATTTTTTTTTATTAATCCAGATTATACTGATCTACAAATTATTTTTAAAAATATATTAAATTATATAATTTAATAAAGAAAAAAAGATTAAAAGTTTATTAAATTTTATTATTTAAAAAATATTTTTTATAAACTTGTACAAAATTATCAATCATAATCAAAATTGTACCAAAAAAATAATAAAATACTAATAAAATTAATTATCGCCTAAACATTGCTTTCAATTTGGCGGTCAATCCTTCACCGGACGAGCTGTGCAACAGAAGAGTATAAGCCATAAATCGGAGACAAACGGTCAGTACAATCATTACACTGATGTTTCGCCAAAAGTGGTCAACACTGAAGTCCATCGATTGGATCACTTGGTCTCCCGACATGAGTCGCGAACACTCGCACAACTGGTCACTGTAATCAATATTGTCGACGCCATCCCATTGGTTTATAACCAGTGCTTCGTTGCCATAATAAAACCATGAAATATATTTTATCCAAATTAGATAAAATGGAATTGAACTAGATCAATTATTGATTATATTATCAGAAAAAAATAAATAATTACCGTAAATAAAAACATTAAAACAATAATATTTGTTTACTATACTACTAGTTTCTATTAGAAATTAAATTACTTATATTAGCAAAAAAATAATATGATCTAGTACATATATACTATATATACAGTAAATTGTAAAATTACTAATATATTCTATAACAACAACAAAATATATATATACTCAATATTGTTGAATAGACCACCAAAAATCATTAATGGTATAAGTAATGGTGCCGATAGCATCAATGCTGCAGTTATGTTGTGCGTTATCAGTGCCATTAGATATCCTGATTTGATTGATATTTTTTTTATATTTTGGTCGAAAAAATTAACAAATTAGTTAATTATCCCTAAATAGACGTTTTTTATAAAATAGTTAAACAAACCGAAACCGCAGGCAATATTGGCTGCCAATAGGCATATGCAGACACACGTCACAAAACGATAGAGATTGTTGTTTAGGCCGACCATAAAGTAAAAGATCGACACAAACATCAATGGTATTATCACATAAATAGGCAACTATTATGTATAAATAATGCAAATTAGCTTAAATTTTTCAACAACAAAAAACAATAATGTTTACTACTATACCTCTGCCAACATTTTGGTTAGAAAATATGGACTAACCCGATATACATTATTACTGTGTTCCCTATGAAATATGGGCACCTCCTTACAAAATGTCTAAATAGTTTATCAAAAAACCAATCACAATAATAAACCATAAGTTATTTTTACTAATTGATAAATTTAATGACAATACTAACATTTACTGTACCAAACAAACTTTGTAGATTTAAATACATCAATAGCATCCATAGGGCGCCGTTAATATTGCGGATACCCTTTTGGTTGAGCTCCAGATGCAAATAGATGAGTCCCATCACTATAACTATAAACTAATTTAATAAAAAAAAACAATTTTAAAATATATTAATATGAATTGTTTTTATGAGTGATTTTATTTATTATAAAAAACATACTAATGTGACTAAAATCAGCTTAAATATGATGGGATCGCGATATGTTGTAAGTATCGATCGGTATAGTAGTACCCAAAACTGTGTGCACCAACCGCTCCGATAGACGCGACCATTGCTTTTAAAACTATTATTATTATTACTAACGGTACTACTGAATGGATTTGTGCCCTGGGATGAGCTGCTGTCAGTATACATAGCACTATCGGCTCTACCGGTTCCCGGCATATACTGATTGGCGTACCAACTGTCACGATAACGATCGCATATAAACTAAATAATTATTTTATTTGTAAATAAAAATAAATTAATTATTTTTCAAAAATTACATTTATATGTTCCTTAGATTCGTCTTCACTGCCGGGAACTACAGCTAATTGTTTGATATAAAAATCGCTGGGATTGTAGTTATTAGGACAGCTGTATCCCAAACTTGAGAAAAACTCCATTGCCTCTCCTAAATGGTAAAACAATATTTTTATTTTAAACTTACCGATAATTATTAATACTGTTTATCAATATATTACCCGCTTTTCCTAAGTAGGCTACCTTTCCATCGGCCATAAGTAACAAATGATTGAATAAGAAGAACACCTCAGACGACGGCTGATGTATCGTACAGATGATTGTCTTGCCATTGGCTGCCATATCCCGGAGCACTTCGACAACATTGAGCGCCATATACGAGTCCAATCCGGAGGTCGGTTCGTCACAAAACATGATTGACGGATCAGTTAATAACTGATCCAAAAAATAACCATTTTTTTAACAACCAACCGTTTAATTACAATTTTTTATATACCTCCGATGCAAACGACAGGCGCTTTCTTTCTCCGCCGGATATACCCTTTTCGCGCTCCGGACTACCAATCTTAGTGTTGGCGCATTTATTTAGACCTAACTATTTATTTAAACAAACAACAAAAATAAATTTCCGTAATTAGGATTATAAAAAAATTAATAAACATTATATTACTCATACATCTAATAATATTTTGTCGACTCTGGCTTTACGTTCCCTTCTGTTTAATGATGGATCCATCCGTAGTTTAGACTGAAACCACAGGTGCTCTTTGACTGTCAGTGTACTAATAAAAAGGTCGTCCTGTTGAACGTAAGCCGATACGGCACGTATGCCGTGCTTGTCGATTGCCTGTCCGTTCAATCGGACGGTGCCTTCTAGGCTTACGTCCGATACGTTTCGCTGAGCCAATGCGTTCATCAGAGTGGTCTTACCGGCGCCACTGTAGAGGAGGACAAGTATGATATGGTTTGTCATTATTTTTTAGACAATAATAATTTATAACATATTTAAATATGTTGTAATAGTAGCGTAAATCTATTATATGCTACAAAATATTTAATAATTTACATTATGTCAATAAAAATATTATAAATAATTATTACTTATATATACAGTATTAGATATCAGTATTATATAACTAACCTTGATCCCATAATAGCCATTAATTGTCCACTTTTAGCTTCACCAGAAACTTTTTAAAAAAAAATTATCATTAGTTTAATTTTTATTTTATAATAATTATAAATAATACCATTTTTAAGTATATGAACACTTGGTTTCTTAAACCGGTGCAAAAGTGGCAATTGTTTACCATTGGATGTCTTGTTGAATACATTGATATTATGCCACGATATGGATACCGGACCAGTTATGTCAAAATCATTTAGACTACCGTATGCGGGACTGTCCGATGATAGGACCAGCTGTTGGCGATTGCTTACATCAAAATCATAGTCATCTGACTTTACCACACAAAAGAAAAAGGAATAAAAAAAATTATGGCTTTTATTATCAGATTTTTATTATAATTATGATTTTCACTTTCATTATAATAATTTTTTTATGAGAGCTGTTAATATAATATGATATAATATAAATAATATTAATTGTATAAAATAAAATTATGTAATTTGTTTTTTTATATTATTAAATATGATTAATAAATATATATATGTATATGTATATAGATTTATTAAAATTTATTATAATTATTTATAGCTAAAAAATAAAATTAATGTCAATAACATACAACATATGATAATAAAGGCAGTGTATCGCTGTTTTCCATTGTTTGGGTATATTATTATAATTTTTATTATTATTGTCTATTATCACAATTCAATATCACATATATTATATTTATACAGGTATCAATACATTGTAATGCATAATACTGTATTGAAATATAATTATTTTTTTTAAAAAAAACTTTTGCACTACACCTGTATTAATAACTTATTATATATTAAATAGTTATCAATTTAGTGATTATAAAAGTTATGAGTTTTGTTAGGTTACGAGACATCCAAACCCTAACAATACAGTGATATTACAGACAAACTATGCAATCATATCTAACAATAAATACTAATTTATATCATTTATTAATTAAAGTCAAATTACAATTTTGTTATTATTATTATTATTATTATTGTTAATATTATTGAAAAATATTTTAACGTTAAACAATTTTTTAAAGTATCACATCAATGAAAAAAATATTTATTTATTTTTTGGCAAATGACACTCAATTATTATTTATCAATTGAATAATAATAATTTTTATATTCTGTATAATAGTAGTAAAATATTGTTTGACACAATAATTATAAATAAATAATTTGAAAAATATATATATTAATTATTTAAAATAAATTTAAATAATAACTTGTTATACACTGTAGTTAAGTACAGGCATTACAAACTATAACATCATTATTAATTTATCAAAAAAAAAAACTAAATAAAATATATGTCTAACAAACAAATATAATTAATAATTACAATTAAAGTGTATATATAAACACATAATTAAAATTAGTACTGAATAGAAAATTGATTACAATTATAAATGTGTAGTCTATATGCAGACAAAATAATAATAATAATAAATTTGTCAAATTTCATCTATGAACAGTAATTTATATTTATATATACAGATAAATTATTCACCTTGGTTACTATTGGTTATAAGATTAGTTTAAGTTTTATTATCCAGATACTATTGTTTAATAATTATATATATATTTGATTAAATTATTGAATATTATAATTTTAAATGTGCAAACTATATATATGACAACATTATTTATCAATTTCAATTATATATTTTTTTTAACAGTAAAAAATTATAACATTTTATGTATACTATTAGATTATTATATTAGATAAAAATATATATACAATGAATGTACAATAATATTATATTATATAATAATAATTTATATTAAGATTGTAAAAACAAACTTAATGTCGACATTATGACATAAACATATTATTAGTTGATAATGAATAAATTTAATTAAAACATACAATATATTCAATAATAGTAAACTATTATAATTAACTTTTATAATACAAACGTAATATACATAAGTACAGTATATGCTTTATATTGAAATACATTATTGAACTGTAAATAACATACACAATAATACACTATTGATAAAACTAAAAATTGATGACATGCTGTAACAATGTATACAGTATTTTCATAATTATAGTTAACATACATTAACATTACTTATTTAAACAATAAGTATCATATAATGTATAAATAGTAATTAATTCAATATACAGTATAATTTGCATGTGTGTTTGTGTGTGTTTGTCTATACAGTATAATTAGTGGATCAATGACAGGCAATTTTAAATAATACAATATCAATTAATTTTATTTTATTTAATTATTACCTATTATGTTAAATGTAGAAACATTGAACTTGATACTATTTAGAAATTCAATATATGATGTTTTCAATACTAAAAACATTATTTTTACTTTAAATACTGTACGATATATATAATATATTTAATTAGAGTACTAATAAAAATTTACATTTGATATAAATAAATAAAAAAAATAATATTAGATATAAATTTTAATTACTTTAATTTTGTTAATGATTATAATATCACAAATTAAAACACTAGTAACTACATTATTACTACATTATCATAAAGTTGAAAACGTATAAAAAAAATTATTATAATTATAATGATATATATTTTTTTAAAAAAAATAAATAACTTACTAGATCATTTATTGCCATTAAATTTAAATCGTAAATTAGTGGCAAACTTTCGCTATCATTCATTGCTTAACAACAACGAAAAAAAACAAAAATCAAATTAATTGTATAAAACTTTTTAATTATTATTAAGTTTTATATATAAATTGAAATCTTACTTTTATATGTAGTATTTAAAAACAATAGTTGATAAAAACAATTAGTCACTAATAAACAAAATTTACTTAAATATTATATTAATATTATGATATATGATATATGTTTTTGACTAACATTTTACACACAATTCAAAAGTTAATTTTCATTAATCAAACAGTTTTTTAAAAATGACAAACTAGTGGTCAAAACATTATTGTATTGATAATTAAAATTAATTATAAAAATAAAACAAAACTTTTATGGCATTAATCTTTTTTAGAGCTATCTATTTAAATTAAAAACTACATTAATTTTATTAAACTAATATTAATTTAATAAAATGATTTATTTATTTTTATTTTTTGGTGAAAAATATCACATTTTTAAACACAATAATAAACAGCTAATAAAAACATAAAGACATTAAGCATTGTATTCAAACAAACTTAAACATTGATGTAATTGCTTACAGATGTGTGAAAAAAGTACTATTTATAAGATTAGCCAATAAGACTGACTTTTAATTGCTTTTTACCCCCTGTTTTAACCCCCACAAAATTTGGCCAAACAGTGTGGCCAAATGCTAAAAATAATAAAATAACATAACTATAGTAATGTATAATAATAATAACAATTAAACATTAAATAACACATAGATTTATTATGAAAATAATTTAATGAAACTAATGTAATAAATTTTTTTTTCAAAATTGATAATTTCTTTATTGTATTAACTTTTATTAAATTCAGTTATTACTTTTATTTATTTGATTTTACATTTATATTAATACTATTAGTTTAATCAATATTTATAATGAAATTATTATTGTTTTATTTTTGTAATTAATGTTAGTTTTATGTAAATGTTTTAATTGTTTAAATATTACTGCATTTTATTTATTTATACTGTCTATTTTTGTGTTTGGCCATCCTACTTTACATATGTCTAACGCAACACTAATGCAAAATATAGTATCATTGCATAATAAAATTTTTCCATACAATTTTATCTGGATATTTTCAAAAAAAACATTATACAAACAAAAATACTAATAGATTTTATTTTTTATAGTTAACAAAATTATTAAAGTCAAACATTTATAAATAAAAATTAAATTAAAAATTAAATTCATTAAATTTTTAATTTACTATTTTTTATTAGTTTTAATACAAATAGTTTTCTTTTCAGTATAAAACTCTCGGGAATCCAAAGTAGCCTCCCGTCCCGTTCCCGACTGTTTTTGTCCACCAAAAGGCATATTCAGATTGCGGACGAGCCAACAGTTACACCAGACAGTGCCGACCCGAAGTCGATTGGCTACAGTGTGCACCCGATCCACATTACTCGACCAGACACTGGCCGACAAGCCGTACGGACTATTGTTAGCCCGCGTGACGACCTCGTCCTGAGTATCAAACGGTACTACACAGACAACCGGTCCGAATATCTCTTCACGCATACAGGCGCTGTCGTCACTAATGTCTGTAATAACCGTAGGACTTACGTAATAGCCGGCCGTGTGATCGGTGTCCAGTTTAAATGGCAGCGACCGGACAGTAGCGCCTTCATTACGGGCCAACTCTATGTATTTCAGTACTTTTTTCTGATGATCGCTGCTTATCATTGGACCAATAAGTGTGTCATTGTTGGTGGGGTCGCCAACTTTCATTTGACTGATATTTGAATAAATAAAAATATATTTATATAATGTTAATTTAATAATAAAACTTTTAGATAAATAAATTTTATCATTAGTATAAAATGTTAATAATTGTTCATGGTCATTATATTATAGTGTTTAAGTTATGAGTATTTAGTATTATTTTTTTTTGATAATTTTTTTTTGTTCCTATAATTAGCAAATAATTTATCACTTAAATAGTATTACTTAAAATCAATATTACATTTAAATTAAAATACAAATGTTATCTAAAATACAATACGATATTAGTCTTTTCCCAATTAAACTATAATTGATTACTCATAAAAATATTTTAATAGATATTTTTCTGTCAATATAAACTGTTTTATCATCATTGAAAACTTTTATCATAATTTATTAAATGTATTGAATTAAATATATTAAATATAAACAATTTTTAAAAAATATGATAAATATTCATCAATTATAGGGTTATTTCCATAACAACAACAAAAATAAATAATACTAACTAAAGTAATATAAAAAAGCAAAAATTCTAAATATCATATAATAATTTCTAATAATTAATTTAAAAATAATATACAATATTGTAATAAAGTATAAAACTTACAGCACATCAATGGTGAACCTATCGACAAACACCTGATAAATAGACTTTTGAACATACAGTCGACTGGAGGCCAGACATATTTCACCGGAGTTGAGAAAACACGACCTAATTATTTGCGGAAAAACTGTGTCCAGATTTATGTCGTCAAAAATAATGGCCGCATTTTTGCCGCCCATTTCGAGCGATAGTTTCTTGAACAACGGTGCCGATCGTTGAGCAATACGGGCACCGGTAGCCGTACTTCCGGTAAACGATATGATGGGTACGTCGGGATGTTCGACAATAGGTTCGCCAACCTTTTGTCCCAAACCAAACACCATATTGACAACACCGGGCGGTAAACCGGCTTCCTCTAACAAGTGACACAATTTGTAGGCCGTCACGGATGTCAGTTCACTAGGTTTGGCTACCACTGTATTACCGTAGGCCAGTGCCGGCGCTAGTTTGAATGTCAACAAATATAGCGGCAGATTCCAGGGCGTTATAATGCCGGCCACACCTATCGGTTCGTGAGTAGTATAATTGATGACACCGGCATCGGGATCGGTAATTGAGCTGAACAAATAAATATAAGTGGGTGTGTGTTAACTGTTCTTATTATATAACACTATATATATATAAATATAATAAAATAAGTTAAGTCCCAAATAAATTACATGTTTGTATCGTATAGTATAGCGTTGGCAAAGTGCCGAAAGTTGTGTGCCGCCCGCGGTATATCCAGAGTGGTGGCCAACCACAATGGTTTACCCTGATCCCATGATTCTAACTGTGCCAACTCTCGGGCACTTAATTCAATGAGCATGGCCACTTTGTTTAATATTTGTGACCTTTCCTGGACACTTGTTTTAGACCAACTGTTTGTTTAATAAATTATATTTTTATATTATTGAAAAATATGATAATTATTAATTGTATTAATTATTGTTATATAAATATTAATCAATCAATCAATCAAACAAACAACTTGCCTTTCAAATGCGCGTTTGGCAGCACTGACTGCCCGTTGGACGTCCCGTTCATTGCTGTCCGGTATGAATGCGTTAACCCGATTGACAGCTGGATTATAACTATTGAAATAGTTGTCCGATTTTTCAAACTTGCCGTCGATATAGTTGTGCACTTCGATGGTCTTATCGCTTACCGAATTGGATCTTTTCAGTGATGACATCTCAGGGCTTATGTATGTATGTTATGTCAACTTATTTGTTTAATAATTAATAATAACAAAAAAAATATTATTTATTAGATTTTCAATCAAATCTTTTGAAAAAATTGGAAATTTGTAAAAAAATAGACAAACTGACTATATTTGCTGAAATAGTTTACGATTTTATAAATTTAATAATATGTTTGAATGAATACAGTTGAATAAAAATTTTTAAAAACTGATAGCATTTTTTGTGGATAATATAGTACTGGTAATTATGGAGAGAGTCTTAAACAGCGGCGGCGGCGATGATAGCGGCAATGCTATTAATTACAATTATCTGGACAACAATAGATTTGATTAAAAAGTGACCATGGTGTTGATAATTTTAAACTAAATAAAATTGTAAATAATTGTAAATAAAATTGTAATTGGTCATTTTTTAATTAATTTTATGATTGGCCAGATAATTTATATTCGACTGTTTAAAAAATTTATAAATTGCAATTATCTGGCCAATCATATAATTAATTAAAAAATTTTATTTACAATTATTTACAATTTTATTTAGTTTAAAATTATCTACAACATTGCCACCATGGTCACTTTTTAATCAAATTTATTGTTGACCAGATAATTGTAATTAATAGCATCGCCGCTATCATCGCCGCCGCCGCTGTTTAAGACTCTCTGATAATTATGTGGTGAATAACATTTGTACAGTGAGTGACTGTCTATAAGCTCCGGGAGTTATTTTTCAATTGATAAAAATATGTATTTCTCCACATTAAATCTTTAACATTCACAAATAAAACCTTGATCTTTGAATCAAATATTTGATATTAATTTATATATATTAATATTGATAACAATTTTGATATGAATTTCAATAAATAATCAAAATATTTATATTATTTACAAATAGCTATTATTATAATTTATAAATCAAATATAATAAAATAGATATATAAATAACTGTTAGAAAAATCTGTTTCTAATGTTATATAATAATATTTATTTATTTATTTATTTTATGCACTTATTTTAATCAATTGTTTTGAGAAAATATTTTATTTTTAAATTTATTTTTTATTATTATTAATATTTTTTATAGATGTTAAAAATTTTAATATCACTTATTCTGTTTTTAATATTTTTTTATTATTTGAAAACATTAGCTGATTGTATACACGCGGGCACTGTATGATTGAATTTATTAGTTTTATAGGCTTTTAAATAAATTATTTTTTGTATGGTAGAGTATTTAATAAATTTTTTTTAAATAAATAATATTTTTAAAAACTAAATTATAAACTAAAATATGGTTCATATAATAATCTTAAAACAATTACTCAGTAATACAGTGTTATTATTATAAATTATTAATTTATAATTTATAATATACATTAACATTTTAATTGAATTTTAGTTAGACAAATATTTTTTTTAAATAACTTATTTATTAAATTTAAAAAAGTTTTAAAAATAAACATAATACTATTTTATTACATTGTCATTACATTGTATTATAAATAATTTGTTTTAAAATAAATATTTATTAAACTTAAAAAAGTTTAGATAAACTATGATATCGTAAAATGATATCACTTAAAATATCATATAAATATATGTATAAATATTTAATAATTAATTGCTTTATGTTTAATGAACTATTTAAAAGTGTTATCATTATTATTGTAAAATTATTTATTTTTAATATATGTCATATTTGGCTTATAATAAACATAATTAGCATTTTTATCAATTTGATGGTAGGTTTTACCATTTAGTTTTTTATTATTAAATATTGACGTTGTCGTTGATGATGATGATGATAATAATAATGATGTTTTCAAATATTTTTTAATAAAAAATTTGACAAACAATATGAAATACAATGTATACATGGCTGCACCGGTCGTTATTACCGGTAGGGTTACCTCACATTGTGGCGACAAATCGGTTAATTTAAATACCAGTGCCGTTATGTTAATATAGAAACCGATAAACATCTGTACGATTTGCAGAGTCGTTATTGTTTTGGCAATTGACTGGTGCACTGGTAGCCGAACGGCTTTCAATGCATAATAGCCGTACATAACTGTGTGAACCGTGGCATTCATACAGACCATCCATCGTGAAGTGGACGGTACGTCTGCATAGATAAACCACGAGTAGCACAGTGTCAGACAATGGTGTAGCCAATGGAGTGGCATCAGTGGCTGTTTACGGAGTATAATAAATACAGTGTCGCCCAACTCCCAGACCTTGGACATGACAAACATCCAGTAGAAAAATACTACACGTATATCCTATTATAAATCAACAATTTATATATATATATATCAATTTAATTTTTTATTAAATACAAATTATTATAATTATTATAATATTTTTAAAAAAAAATAGCACAACAAATTGTAGAAAATTGTTAATAATTAAGCATTATTATATGGTTAATTAATATGTCTAATGTTTAGTACAATAGTACATTAATTTGTAAATAAAATATAGTTTTTTTTAAATTATTTGAAGAGTAATTACTTTACCATTTTATAATAACAAAGAATAAATTTATAAAATATTATTAAAAACTATCAAAAATAGAGCTTAATTAAGAAAGTTAACTACAATTTTTTATTTATATAATTAAACTAATAATTAAGAAACTTATTATAAATTTTATATATAAAAAATATTTTTTATTATTTCTTTACTTATATTTTTTGAGAAAACATTATACAAAATTATTTATATATATAATTTTTTAAGTAAACAAATATTAATTAATTTTAATTAATTTAACAAGATATGTTTAAAAATAAATAGTCACTTATTTTTATTTATATTCACTCAACAATTAATTATAAAAATAATTAAGACTAATAATATCTGCTTTTTTGTTACAAATAAGCAGTAGAAAATTTAGTACAAAGTTAAGCTATTTAGTTTATTTTAGTCTAATTAAAAACACATTTAGTGTATTAATTAGTGTATTAATACGATAGAAATAGTTTAGATTAGTACAATAAATACCCTGATATATAATAGTTAACTAAATAAAATAATAATAAGTGTATTGTTGTTATTAAATAAGAAAACTTCTGTTAAAGATTAACAAATAAAACAATAACCAAAAAAAAACAATTTTGAAAACAAATATTTCATATAAACAAACAAACAAAAAAAATAGTATACCTTTTCATAGGATGAATCACAATACGATGCAATAAAACCCCTATTGACTACAATATCAATAAGCTCAGGTATGCATTGGATACAGGTGCTTAAAGAGAATAGTGCCAAAAATAGATTCCATAGAAATAATGGTAGTCTAAGTGTATACGGTTGTTGGTGTCGTCTTCTCATATAATTGTGTAACACTTTAATAACACCGATATAGACCATACATATATAGACAGAGTAATGCCAATGATATCGGAGCCATAGCTTGAGGTCGGGATGATAAGCACGAAATGATCGGTCAAATGTTTGTAAAGTCAACGACAACAGCGATGGATCAGAAAATTGGGTTAAATGTGTTGTCCAGTGATTTGATTGAGACATTGAATTCAGTAAAAAAATTAATCAGTGAATGAATTTGTAAAAAAAACAAAAATTATTTTTAAAAATAATTTCAATAAAAATAAAATATTATTTATTTATACACAATATATATTTAAGGAAAAATACACGAATAATTTATTTTAAAAAATAATAATATTTTAGTGTATAGTTTAATGATTGATAATAATAATAATAAATTAACAAAACATTAACAAAATTTATAGAATAATTTTTAACTATAAATAGTATTGCGATAATAAATATATTTCATCAGCAATAGTGTAATAAAAATACTATATATTGTTTTGTGTGGTATACAATTTTTACTATTATTGTTTTGTTTCATCAAGCACAATAAAAAGTAACAAAAAAAATATTTAAAAAGTAAATATTGCATATATATTGTTAATTAATAATTATGTTTTTTTATAAAAAATTATAATTATAACGTATAATATATTACTTATTAAATTTATTATATTATTTAAAAAATATATTTATATACATAATAGAGTTTTAGTGTATAAAAAATAATAAAACTTAAAACTTGTTTTTTTAAAAAAATTATTACTTTGATTGTTAATGTAAATACAAAATATAAGTGTATTATTATTAGTAGTATTATCATAATCAGTAAAAATAATCTTTTATTAAGTAGGAGTAAATCGACAAAAGTGTTTTCCCTAATAAATTTCCCAGTATTTACATTTGACATATATTATCTAATATTTTAAGAAACATTAAATGTAAACAATTGAAATTTTAAAAAATTATTTATCAAATAAAAATATGAATCTATAAAAAAACATTCACTTAAGAAGTTATTTAAAAACAATTATGAAAAAAAACATTTTTATTGTAATTATTAAATAATTTTAGTTTTTTTAAATCTATTAATTATTAGTTTGTTATAATTTATACTGTTTAAAATTAAATAAATATTAATACCCTTGATAATTTAGATGACAAAACAATTTGAAATATAAATATTTAAGAAACTTTTAATATTGTATTTTATAACTTATATTAAAAAACATATAATATGTTTAGTACATTTATATAATCATTAAATATTTGATTGTATATTAGATTTATTGAGTAAATATTATTTACACCTTTTTCCAAGCATTTGTTTATTTTTATTAATAGTATTTTACATGATTTACAAATATATGTTATATTTTTTTATAAAATCATATAATATATATATATATATATATATATATATATATATATATATATATAAATAAAATGCTAATATTAACGTCATAAACTATTATAAATAATCAGTTTGCTTTTATTAACTATTATTTTTTTCTTTAATAAAATTAATTATTTGAACTTTAAAATTTTGCTAATATAAAATTATATATATGTAAAAATATTTAGTAATGCATAACAATTTGATAATTGTAAATAATTTAATTGCTAATCGTATAATATTTTCGCAATACAATAAAATATTTATTAAGTATTTAGCATCTTAATAATAAATAATGGAAATACATAATAAATTATAAGTGCAAATTAAAATATGTTAATTAAAAAATATTTTAGTTATTTATAATAAAATAACTAAATAAAATTTACAATAAATAAAAAAATGCTATTTGTATTTTAATCAAAATATAATAGTATTATATAAAGTATCATATTAATATATAATTATATAATGTAATAAATTAAAATTTAGAAACTTAAATTTTTATTATTGTTTAAAATTTTATTCATTATTATTCATTATTATTTTGTTTAATTTATTATTAAATTATACTATGATATATGATTACTTATAATTTTTTTTATTATTATTTTAAAATTTAATTAATAGTATCTATGTTATTTCAAAGTTAATTACAATAAGTTAGTTATTTTGTACTTAATTAATTATATTTATAATTTATATTTATTGTAGCCTATAATTGTAAACTTAATAAATAAAATAAACAATTATCTAAAAATATCAACTTTATTATTTATAAATAAATATAATCACAATTAATTTACGTTTACAAATAATTGTAAATTGCATCAAAACTCAATTACACACACACACACACACACACATATATATATATATATATATATATATACTCACACACATACACACTTAATTATTGAGACTTACAAAATATATTTATATTTATAGTGTATTTATTTATAATATAATGTTAATACGAGAAAAAACACATTGGTTTTTTTATATAAAAATAATTGACATACAACAACAAAAACAATACATAGAAATATCTAAATTATAGTTGATTTGATTACATCATAGCTTATGTAGCATAAATTATTAATACAGTATATCATCACACAAACAGACACATACATCTAGATTTTTTTCAATATATAATATTCAATGCATTTAGTAAACTCCTGGTGCGCACAATCCTTTATTTTCATATCAGACACACACATACACACACATAGAGAATATTCTTGTTTTGTTACAGAATATATATATTTTTAGTCTTATTTCAGTTGAGTGTAATATAACGAGAGCACAGGGATCTAAATGGTGAGCGCATGGAGTTTCTTCAAGTAATAAGTTTTTTGTTGTTGTTGTTGTCGTTTGTATAGCAAGACTATCCTATTTTACTTTTTTTTGAAGAAAAAAGAAAACTACTTGATTTTAAAGGATTTGATGACAGTCTATACCAGTGCTCCCGTAGCGGCTGTCAGTATGTGTTTAAGCGCTTATATATTACTACTACTATATATATGTTTGTGTGTGTGACTGAAAGAGAGTATCAATAAGTTATTTTTTTATTTAATGGTGATATCGGATAACAAATAATATGTGTATATATATGAGAGTATATAAAATTTCATTAATCAGTGTTATGAAGTAAATTATTAGTGAATTTTATTTTGTCTATATATATATATATATCATAAATAGATATATATTTTGATATATCTATACAATACAATATTTTTTTTATATTTATGATATTAAGTGACAATATTAGATAAATATATAAAACTTTTTTTTTAGATCCCACAAAAGAAAAGGTCAATCAATAAATATAAATCAAATATAAGTTTAAGTAATTTTTTGTTTATTGAAAAAATAATAATATTTATATATGAAATACAATGATTAATTGAGTGTACAACAAGAAAATTTACAACTAAAATATAATTTACTATTAGTATAGTGACTAAAAGTGTCTATGATTTTAGTTTTTTTTTTTTGACAATTTTATCGTTAAAAAAACAAATTTTCGGTTTCAATTCATTCATACATTTTCAATAAATTACTTAATAATAGAGATAAATATAATGAATTTTTATTATTTATTTTTGATACTATATTAACCTATTTATAGTTTAATATAATAAATAAAAATTTTTATTCTTGAATATATCATATACTTTATATGTTATTCCTGTCAATAATAAAATATTAATATAATTAAACTGTTAGTATTAATAATAAATAAATAAGAAAAAGACAACAACAAAATTGGTGAAACATTTGTAAATATTTAATAAATAAATTTATATTGACATTATAATTAATTCATGTTACGTGGCTATTATACAGAATATTATATATTCAACTATTAATAAATAATTTTGTGTGTATATATCTATTATATATATATTGAACATTATAGTTTTTATTAATATAACATCAAAATAATAGTAATAAATAAATAAAATATCTATTATTTAACAAACAACAGCATTACTTAATAGAAAAAGCAATACTAAAGATAATAAAAAACTTTATATTTTTGCAATTGTTTTCATCAAATTGAAATACATTATATTTTTTCAATTTAAAAAAATAAAATTTTTCTATCTTTCCTATACTGTATTAACTTTAATATTAATTTATATATATTTAGTAGATTTATACGAACAACAAGTATTAATAAAAGTTTGATTTTTATAAAAAAAAAATAAAATCTTTAATAAAGCAAAAACAACAACAAAAAATAGTTTGAGAAAACTATATATTTATTTTCATTATCATTAAGTTTTTGTGAAATTATTAGTTTTTTTTCTCTCTCTCTCTTTCACTAACAATGGAAAGTCATATAAAACAAAATAACAATTTGTTTCTAAACAATAATTCATCGATAGTTGCCTCAAGACTTTTACCAGTTTCAACAAAACTGATTGTCAACTGTTTACGTGTATTGCGTAGCAGTCATGAGGACCGGTATTATTATATACCGATTCCCGAACTGTCGACACGAGTCGACTGTATAGACTATTTGCGTACAATCAACGAGTCGATGGTTACAGAAATATTCAACCAGTACTGGAATATAACATCGCCGTCTAATCTAACCATTGTTGACGATCTGGACAACAACAACGGCTCCAGTGATCAGCCGCTTGTCGAGCACTGGTATGTTGTGTTTCTATGGTCAGTAATATTCTGTTTGATGGTAATGTTGGCCATTATTGGCAATTCGATGATAATATGGATTATATTGAGCCAAAAAATTATGCGGACAGTCATTAATATTTTTCTATTAAACCTAACCCTATCGGATCTGTTAACCGTATCGTTGAACGCAACGTTTAACTTTGTGTTTATGCTGACCGGCCACTGGCCATTTACCGCAGTGTACTGTGTGATCAACAATTTTGTTACCAATTTGACGATTGCCTCATCCGTATGTTATTAATTATTATTAATATTAATATTATTATTAGATTATTATTATTATTGTAAAAATGATTAATATATTTCTATATATATATTGTTTTTTTCTAATATATTTTGTTTATATATCATATGCTTGTTTATCTATTGGAATCTTACTTTTAATTATTATATTTACTATGAAAATAATATTTACTTTATAAACATTATTTTATATTATATAATTATTATTTATTGTTATATTTTGTTTACGATTATAATGTTGTTGTTAGTGTTGATAATAATAATAATTATTATTATTGTAAAGTTATTTAAAATTTCATAATCAAAATACTATAGAAATATTCAATACAAATTTATCATTATTATTATGTAGACTAATAGGAAGTAATTATACCTAATTGCTAAATAAAAAGAAAACTTATTATTAAACAAAAATAAAACTAAAAAAACACAATTTTATATAATATACTAAATCATTGTATATTATATAACTTAAATATTATTTTTGAGTACTTAAATTATATAAATAACATACTATATTAATTGACATAAATTTAATATTTAAGATAATATAAATGCATTTTAGTTAACAAATTATGTATACAATACTATACCATATGATGTATCGTTTATTTATTAGTCGTGTTTTGTAAATATATGACATATGATATGATATATAGAATATTTTTTCTTATGTTTATTATTATCACTATTATTATTATTATTATTATACCGAAAATGATATCAATAAAAACAAAATAAACTAAAGCAGTATAGAAAACTTTTATATAAACATTATTGTCTAATTAGGTATATATTTATTATATTGTTTACATACATTAATCATAAATTAAATTTGTTTTTTTTATTTTGTTTTTATTTTTATAATAAAAATTAAATGACTTTTTAGTGACAAAAATATAATAAAAATGACAAATTTTCTGATTTTAATATTTTTAAAAAATTTTTGTATCTAAAATTATAAATATACAGTTTATACTATAAAAACTTGTTTTTAGATACTGTATAAAGTAGAAGATTAAAATAGTCTAAGTTTTATTGTTGTTGTTATTTTTCTTTTATTATTTAGCAAGATAAAACTTGTTAACAATACCAATTAATTAAATATTTTTGTTAAAATGGGATTTTCATTAAATGTCAAACTGTTATACATATTTAAACCAATATTAACAACAACAACAACAACAATAATTAATGATCAAATAAATTAAATATTGATAATGATTGCTAATGATAGTATCTATTAAACAAAATATACCATTTATTATTATTATTAATATTATATATATATATAATTTAATTAATATATTTTTTATATATATTGATAGTATATTTACATTGGATTTTATTGTATATAAATTATATCTTATTTATATGATTTAACAGGTATTCACCGCAACCGTCATGAGTATTGATCGGTAAGTTTTTTTGTTGTTGTTGTTGTCATCCCTTTCCACACCACATATATAGTATATCTTTGCAAATAATAATAAATAAATATATACAATAATAATCTAATAATAAATAATGGTTTTTCTATATATATACTGCATATAAGTATAATAAAATAATATAGAAAATAATTTATATAATACTGTAAACTTTATGTATTATGATATGATATAAATTATAAAAATATAGTTATGATAGTTGTATTTATAAGCTCAAAACATTTAAGAATATATAGTAAATAAACTGTATATAAAAAAATCTGGGTGTTTGAGATTATAAATAAAAACAAATAAAAATCTTTAACATTTAACTTAATGTTTTAAAATTGTAAATGATAACAATCACACATAATAATATACTTGACATTAACTGGAAACATAAATTTATGAAAAAATAAAATTTTTATTTTAAAAATTTAGTATTACATATGACGTACAGTATATTTGTTGTTATATGAATTAAAATAATCAGATTAAATAATAATTACAAAAAAATCTGCTTTAATAATTATATAAAAAATTAAATGACTTATAAATGCATTAATTGAATTCAATGTAATCTGATTTATATAATATTGGCATAAATACATTGTTATTAGCAATAAATATTTATATTTTTAAATTTAATCTTTATTGTAAACCTAATATTATTATAATACATAATAAGCAAAGCGTATTATTTTGAAGCAATGATTGGTTTACAAAATAAATATGATAAATACAATATAAAATTGTATTAACAATATAATCTATTCAATTATATAAATAATATTATGTTACCAACAGTTTAAAAAATATAAAATTTTAATATTTACTATACTAATATAGCAACAATATAAAATTTATACACAATTAATTCAGTAATATTATATAAAATACTAAATTTATAAATAGTAAATAATTTATAGCAATATATAAAAAAACTCAAGTTGCACATTAATAAACTATAATTACAATTATTAATACAATATTAACGTAACATAAAATATGCTATTAAACAAAATAATAAATTATTAATATTTTAAAATTTTTAATAAATATACAGTAATAATAAACAATAATTACTTACATTCTGCTTATATTTAATTGACTTATCTATTAAAAAATAATTTATATATAAATTGTTATATTTTTAAAAAAAATTCTGCGAAAAAATATCTATTAATATTTATATAAATCAAATTTTTATAAAATTTTCCAATGCATTAAACAATTTGTAAAAATTTCATTATTGATTGATAGAATAATTTTTAACCGAAAAAAAAAATAAATAAATTAGATTTTCAAGCTAAAAAAAATATTACATTTTTCCAATATATAGCTAACTGTATTTGTGTAAATTAGTTTATATGTATATATATGTGTATGTAGTGTGTGTGTGTGTGTGTGTGTGTGTGTGTGTGTTAAGTATGTTTTAACCTTTTCAATATTAAATCCTATCGAGTTAAGCTAACAAACTATCATATGGTTTTATTATTAGCTGAGCAAAATTATAGTAAAATTATAAGTATATATATATATATATATATATATATATAGAGAGAGAGAGAGTAATAAAAATAAAAAATTTGCCATGATAATACCAACGAAATTGACATTATAAGCCTCAGTGAATTATCATGTTAAGCAATATTATTATTATTATTATTATTATTACTTAGCTTATATAATTTGTGTACACGTATATTTATGTGTATACGTACTAGTTAAATTTAGTAAAATGTTTTTTTTATCTAGCATGTTTACTATATTTGTTAATAATATAACTGACAAATATACTATATAGTAAAAATGAAACAAACAAAACAAAACAAATTATAATGTAATATATTATTTGATATTATTTAAAGTATAATTATACTAAAAAAAAATTTATATTAAATGTTTATTATATTAAATTGAGTATTTTTGTAATTAGTATAGATTTAATTATTATGTACTTGAATTATAATATTTGAGTTACTGAATATTATCTATAAATATATAATAATTTTTAAAAACAACCAGCAACAAATTTTACTTGAGTTTTTATTCAATTTTAATTCATAAGTATAATATTATATTTGACAGCAATATTGAAATATATTAAATAATTAAAAATGAAATTATTATTATAACATTAAACTTATTTATTATTTTTATAATTATTTAATAAAAGCGAAGTTTAATATAAACTTTTATTATTAATTAATTATGTTGTTTATTTATTGTGACTTTAACTAACTATACTTTAGTTGTATATAATTAGGGTTAACGTTAGGCATAATAATAAATTTAATTACACTTTTACTTTGTAATACTACTGTATTTTGTAATGTATGAAATCATATACTGTAGACTATTTATATATAAAATTATATATATAAATTATAGAGTTTATTAACAATAGTTAATATACAGTAGTTTACAATATTATATGTAGACAATGTAACAAGTTTTATAAATGAAATTATTAGAAAGTTGCCATAAAAATAATTATTAAAATATTTTAAATTATGATAACGTAAGTGAAATATTTTTTAATTGTAAAAATATAAAATTAAATTTTCTACTGAATAAAATATTTTTTAAATAATTATTATGTATGTAATTAAGTTTTATGTTATTAGTAGTATATTAGTACTGTATCTTATAATTTTGAATTAATACGATAAGACATTAATATATATTTTCATCATTAAAACTAAATAAATTTAAATAATAATTATAACAATATTTAATTTAATTATACGAAATATTTTATGTATTTTTTTTATTTAACGATTGTAAAATTATATAGAAGTTATTAAAAATAATTTGATAAAAATGTCACGTTTGTCTATCATAATAATTATGTTATTTTTTAATAAGCTAAATTCACAATAATAACAATTACATAATAACTATAAAAACTTTTAATAAGTTTTATTTAAATATAATTAATATATAATAATAATAAAACATTTTTTTTAGTATTTAATTTTACTATCAATGAATTTCATGTTAAATTTCTTGTAATAAAGTTTTATATTATTATATTTTTAAAAAAAAATATTTATTTGTATAGTTGTTTATGTAAACATAACTGATTTATTAAGTTATGTAAATATGAATTTTGTTGTGCATTATTTACTATGAATTTTTGTTGTTGTTGTTGAAAAAAACTATATTTTATAAAATAGAAATTTGCATAGAAATAGAATTTATAATAAAAGATAATAATCATAATAATTATTTTTTAAAAATAACTTAACAATAATTTTTTTAAACTAGACGTTATTTAGAAAATATTTGATTTATGTTATTTATATTAATAATATTTTTTTTCTAAATTTTATATATAAAATTACAAAATTATATAATTTAATTAAAATAAATGATTTTTAAAAATATTGATATTCTAATTAATTAATTATTTTTGTTGTTATTGTTGTTAAATATGATTACAGATACATAGCAATAGTGCATCCATTGAAGCCCCGTATGACCCGATGCCGAGCACTGGTCAACATAAGTCTCATATGGTTATGTTCAGCATTTTTTGCCAGTCCAGCCATTGTTTTCTCTAAGATATATGTGGTTCCCTATGGCGGACACACCACACGTCTACTCTGTCTCATGGAATGGCCGGACGGACTGTCGGGTCAATCAAATTTTGATTTGGCGTTAGTATTATATTTAGTTATTCATTATTATTATTATATTGTATTCATAAAAATACTAAAAATATTTTTTTGAAATTTTATATGTCATTTATTTCTTGTATTAAACACTAATCAAAATATAATTAAATTTTGTATTTTCTATTAATGTGATGATTCATATATTATTAATTTTTTTTGTTACTATCATAATTATTTACAACATAATTAGAAATTATTTTTTTAATAACAAATGACTGTTAATTAAAAGTTAATTAATGGATATAAATAATATGAACATTGATAGCAGTCTCTATCTAGAAAATTGTATTTATATATTCCCCCAAAAAAAAAACAATACTATACTTATATAATTTTTGACTATTATTACATTATACAGTATTTGGTAAATAGTTGTATTATATAATATACATGTGATATTAATTTAATAATAATTATAATATTAAACAAAATAATATTTGTTTTTTAGCTACAATATAGCATTTCTATTGTTGACATACGTATTGCCAATGCTGACAATGGCTATCGCCTATACCCGTATGGGTCAGGTATTGTGGGACTCCCAGCAAAACGAGCTCAACACTAATCTCGGACCTGAACTCATACGACAAAAACAAAAAGTGGTCCGTATGTTGATATGCGGTATGTATTTGTCATCACTTATATATAGTTTAAGATTTTTGTTGTTTTTATTATTGATATTATTTCTAATTAATATTTTTAATTTCTAATTATTTTTATTATAATAAATTATTTTTTAAAAATCAGTAATAAGTGTGTTTGGTATATGTTGGCTGCCATATCACTCGTATTTTTTGAGCACCTATATGTGGCCCGATATAATTAAACTAAAACAAATTAAACACATCTATTTGGCTATATATTGGTTGGCAATGGCTAACTCTCTGTTCAATCCAATCATACTGTTTGTTATGAATCGCAGGTATGTTTTTTTTATTTGTTTTGTATTTTTTATGTGTTATATAAATATTTTTTGTCAAAATATGTTTTGTTGTTATTGCTTTTTATATATATATAATTTTAACAATAAACATGTTTACATTATTTATATATATTTAATAAAAATATAGTATAACTTTAAACTATTTCAAAAATAGAAGATGTTATATGATATTTATATTTACAATATTATATAATAAATGTATTGATTAATGTATCGCAACTAAAGTATTTTACAGTACATAATGTACAGTAAAATATTATAATTATTATATATAAATATTTATAAATACATACTATTTCACCATGTTTCTATTATATTAAATTTAAATTATAGTTTTTATATGTAAATCCCAACAAAAAGTGTCTTGCAATATATTGATATAACAATAATAATCATTATATTAATTTTATAACTACTATAAAAACTATTTGAGCTATTATTCGTGACTATTACAAGTGATATAAAATAAAATAAAATCATTACATATAAATCATTACTCAATGTTATACTGTAATAATAAGTACTGTAATGTAAAACTTTATCTTAATGTTAGATTATTTTATTTTATTTTCAACACACACTTTATATAAATTACACAATACTTTACACTCTATACTTTAGATTCCGATATTGCATAACATATTACATGCGTTGTCAATGTCTGACCAATGGTGGCATACAATTGGACGGCCGTCTGTCAGTAGTGTCCAGTAGGGTCAGCAATCAGCGGAAGTCATCAAAAAATAAATCACCGAAATCACCGAAATCGCCAAAATTACCGAAATCGCCAAAAAACAATCACAACTACAACAACGATAAGAGTAGGTTTAATGACAGCAACAGCAGTAACAATGATAATAATAAAGCGGCCGAAGTTCCCGTTTAATTACCCGAACCCATCATTTTCATTGATAACAAATAGATAAATATTATTGATTATTGCGATTGTATCGGTAGTTCACAACATTTAAAATGACTTGTTTTGTCTCTCAAAAACATCTCAAATATTAGTTGTAAATCTGAAATCTCAGAATTTTTTTTTTAAATTTTAATTTTGCTTATATACTAAAATATTTTCTAAATATAAATTATAATATTAAATAAAATTTTAATTTTTACATTAGGAAATTAGTTTTTTTAATATAAAAAATATTTTTAATTCATTATGATTTTGTCATAATTACAGTATATCTTTATAATTAACTATATTAGTTGAATTACTTTTATACTAAAGTGAATTAAATAAATAAAAACTTTGAACAAATAATCAATAAATTTTAAAAAGTTTTCTTGACTTGATTTGTGGTAACCCTAGATAATAAATAAATTGACTACTTAAAATAATTTTTATTTTATTTTAATGTATTGTATTTACAATATATTTTCATGTGTATATATCTGTATATACAGTATATATAATAATTATACTATTGTATGAATAATTTGTTTGTTATTATAATTTTAAATTTGTCTCAATAGATATTCATATATTTAAATTGTAGTTTAGTAATTGTTTTAAATTGTATATAATTTTATTTTATTTTAAAAACAAACTATTGTATTCATGTAAGTTTAAACTTTCTAGAAAATAAAATGTTACTTATTTGCTGTTTTCATTAATAAATTTAAGTTAAATGTATAATAATAATAATAATAATAAAATCTTTATTTGTTAAATGTATTATAAAATGTTTTTACTTTTTGGGTATTTATAAAATAAGAAAATCATTTTATTTTTATGTAACTTTACGGAAAATAGACAATAAATATTATTTAGTTTCATATGATATATGATACAATAAAATTGATTGATTAATTAAAAATAGCACTTAAATACAGTATTTGTATCTATAGTATTAGCATTTATCGTATATGTGATTTTAGCTAAAAATAGTAAGTATATATAGGTCAACAATCAATTGAATAATTGTTATATAATTGATGATGCTAATTATATAATAAAATGATGACAAAATTAGTTATTGTCGGATAAACAGATTTAATGATTTAGTAGAGAGAGAGAGAGAGAGAGAGAGAGAGAGAGAGAGAGAGAGAGAGAGAGAGAGAGAGAGAGAGAGAGAGAGAGAGAGAGACTAAAACTATCATTATAATTGTATTAAAATTATTAATGTGACTGAATATTATATTATATAATGTTTTATTATGTAATTAATCTTATATATAAATATATTTAATACAGATACATGATAAATAAAATCATTAGTTAAAATAATTTCAATCTACTGTATTTGATTTATATTAATGTTTTTTAATTAATCAGTAGTCATCAATACAGTAATGTTAACAACAATACTATTAATAATAATGACAATTATTATAATTGTACACATTATTGATTAAATAAATCAATAATAATTGTTATGCTAAATGTTAAAAAATTAGCAAATAAAATTTTTAAAAAAATAATTTAATTAAATAAATAAAAATAAATAAATTAAATAAAACATTTCTTCAATTTTTTCGGTAACTAATAAAATTAATTAACTTACTGTTCAAACAAATTTATTTTTTATTTATACATTTAAACTATTAATTACTAAATCTAACTAACTATAAATACATTGTTTTTGATAATATAATTTGTATTTTGAACATTCAATTTAAACATTTAAAAAAAATTAGTCAAATTAATTTATACATTTTTTGTTAAAATTTAGTAAAAAAGATTTATTATACTATTTAAATACTGATATTTATTTATCGATTTATTATTTATTAATATTAAAATGTTTGGCAATTTATTGTTTATAGTTATAAATAAAAATATCTTGTATAATTTATGAAAATCAATAAATTATTTTATATTGTCTAAACTTATAGTATAGAATTTTCTGTTTAATATATACATACAATATTGTAATAAAGTATTAAAAACTAATCATAAATTATATTATAATATTTAATATGACATATAGTATTATAACATATACTGTATATAATTTAATCAATAACTCAATAAATCATCAATTTTTTTAATGAAAGTATTTATAGTAATATAGACTATTATGGTTTAAAATTAATTACTTAGTATTCATTTATTTATAGCTAACAAATTATTATTAAATAATTAAAAAAAATTAGAAATAGAAATTACATTATTTAAAAAAAACTTTAAACTTATTAGAACTTTTTCAATAAAATTAAACATAATATTCTATTATAATTATATTATTTTATTTACATAATAATTTATATAATATATTACTAATGTTATTAATATTGAGTAGAGTTATTTAAATAATTTTTTTTAGCAAAAATACTAGACAATTTTTCTTAAAAATTAAATTGAAAATCCATGTAATTTTTTTTATATACAGTTATTTATAAGTTTAAGATTATTAAATACTAGAAATTTGTTTTTGTTATTTTTAAACTTTTAACAGATATTTTTTCTTAGAAAAAATAATTTTTTTTTTACTAATACAAGATTTTAGAAATGCCATTACAAACTTTACTTTAATAGGATTATAGCTTATATATATAAAAAAAAAGTTTTTATCAGTAAATTTGTCAATTTTTATTATTTGATATACAATATCTTATAACTTTATTAAGGTACCAAAAAAATACACTACCAGTATACTTATCATATATAAATGTATAACATGTCAATATAAATTCAATAAATGCTGTGGGTTATATTGTATACATATATATATATATTATATTTATTAAATATGATTATTTATAGTACAGTAGATTATCGCTAAAACATTAAATAATAAATAAATAAAATGTTATATAGATTTTATTGTTTTGATTTTATTGTCGAAGCAAATCAATTGATACACAATTAAGTTAAACTGGACATACAATTTAATTATGATATAATGTATAGAGAGTATGTACAGTATAGTGTATATATTTTGTATCTATTGTAATAATAATAATAATACCTATTGAGAAATAGAGAGAGAGAGAGAGAGAGAGAGAGAGAGAGAGAGAGAGAGAGAGAGAGAGAGAGAGAGAGAGAGAGAGAGAGAGAGAGAGAGAGAGAGAGAGAGAGAGAGAGAGAGAGAGAGAGAGAGAGAGAGAGAGAGAGGATAAGCAATATTTATAGTGTTTGTTAATTGTAGTAACCCAAAAATAAAACAAAATTAAATTTAAAAAAATAATGCCAATGTTAATATAAAATATATTATATATATATAAAAAACGACAAAACAAAATTAAGATTAAATTAACGGGATTTGACAATAATATCACAGACAATGATTGTTGTAGTGGAAAGAAAACAAAAAATAGTATCTCCCAGGGAAAGGTATCATTAATTAAATTATATATATCTAAAGCAGTATATAAATGACTACTATTTTCATTGATCACTTGAGGGGGTCTTTATCACTGGTCAGCACTATTTTTTTATTGAATTTTTTATTTAACTCATACTGAATATCAAATAATTTTCAGTATAGACAGAGTATTACTAGACTTTATCTGATTTTACTGTACATCTACTGTTAACAACAATATGATATAATTTTTTAGTAAATATAAGATATATTTTTTTTATCGTTGAAAATATTATTAAAACTTTTAATACATTACTTTCTGTGATTCACACTATAATTTAATGTCTTTAAAAAAATGATAGAAAAAAGTGAATGAATTTTTCTTTCTATATTATACTATAAACAGAAACTTAATTTTATATATAATTAATTTTTATTTCACACAATCAATAGACATGATAATTGAATGTCTTGATTTGTACACAATTTGTTACATTTGTTACATTATTGTACAGTATTTACTGACAATTAGATTTTATCTAATACTTTATACTATATATATATATACTGTATATATATATATCAATTTAGTATATAAATTATATTTTATATAACTAATTTAGATCATGTATATTATACTGTACATATAAATACAATTGTATAGTACACACAGTACTGTACATTAAATTTTACAACATAATTATACTGCAAATAGAAATTTCTAATTAATTTTCCAGAGAAAATTTCTAGGTAAATTTCTTGGAAATAAATTTATATAGAAATTTTACTTTATTATTATACTATGGTATCCACATATACTGTATTAATGGGATATAATACACGTATAATCTACACAACACTATAATACAAATAAAATTCTTATATATATAATTAGTAAAATTATCTAATTTTAATTAAATTTTTTATTATAAAAATTTATCATTTGAATATATTTTTAGTTTGATGTAATTAAATAGATTAAATTTTTTTCTTCAAATATTAATTAAAATACTAATATTATTGTTTATAGTTTTTATTTGAAATTGTAATGTATTTTTACAAGCTAAAATATATTGAGATAACAAAATAAACATGGAAATTCTATAGACAGAATTTTCTATTAGAAACTTTCTGAAAATTTCTAATTTTTGCCAACTCTTGTCATATCTTGTACGCAATAAATATATGAAAAGTAATTTTCTTAATATTTAATTTTATTTATTTTTTATTAATTAAATTTATATATTACAATGATTAAATAATTTTTTGTTTTGCTAACAACATTAATAAATTTTCATACAATAAATAAGCATATGCTGCGATCATAGTAGTGAAAAAAATAACACTAAATGCTAGAAAAAACCTAATTATCAATAATAATAGTAATACTTAATGTTATCAATCATAAAATAAGTCATAATAAATATCTGATATTTTTTTGCATTAAATATATGATAATAAGTTAGATTTACTGTTAGACATGTATTGTATATAAATTAATATTATTGCAAACAATTACAGTATATTTGTCTAACGGCTAGTTTTATTAATAAATTTTTTATTTATAGTAAGACTTTATAGCAAATAAAATAATAAGATATCTATATATTATAAACTGCTTTGTTTTGTCTAAATAAAATTTCAACAATTAAACTAGTATAAATTAAAGTAAATTGATATATAAAAAATTAAAAATAATACCAAAAATAAGTTACTAAATTTTTTAATTAATTTTTTA